ACAAAACATGAAGAAATGTAGAAGCAAGCAAGTTTTTTTGTTACGTTTACACTGCTGCCTTGAAAATTAGGTTCAGTTAAGTTGAACAAGTACCTCACAACTAAATCAACCGCTCTCTCAACGACATCATAAAATCACTGGACCAGTAGTCTGAAGACAACTGACCTTTATCTAATACATGTTACAGATGTTAGATGCTGACGAAGAAGAAAACTGGTTGTTTCTTTTCGGATTTTTGTGTTGTTAATAGTGAATGTAAGCAATTACGACTGAAGTCACAGACCTCATAATAGTTTAAATTCTTCACTATTATTTAAAACTTATAGTCATGAAAAGTTGAAAATGTTGCAACATAGGTGTAGAGTCATTTGTATGAAGATCCTAATGATAAACCCGACGTAAGGTTTGATTTGCATCAAAGGCTAACTAATCTGATACTTGATAGTCCTATTTCTGTATAGAAATAGAAATGATTCTAAGTTTCATACAACTTGTTGGACACCTATTTCTACTATGCCTGATGTATCTCAATATCACATTTCACCACCAAGCTAGCATTGTGAAGAGTGAGATTTCGTATAAATAGTACCGTCGTTGTCTATGAAGATCTTTTAGCCTCTAATGTCGACATTGTTATCACTGATAACACATTTATCATTTCTTTTTTACCATTTCGTCATTAAATCAAAAATAGCACAGTAAAATGAGTATCTGGTTGCAGAATACATCAGTAAATTACTGGTTAAAATAAACTACAAATCAGAAATTCACAGTATCAATTTCCATTGTATTTAGTATTAAACACAAAATTAAACAATGTACGTTTACCAAGTTTACGGATATTTGACAAGATAAGATCAATTTTTTTCTACTAAACTGTACTATGTTAAGAAAAACGAAAAATGTTTTCATCTGCACTGATATTACTTGATTAATATAAGTAACCAAAGTTTTTATAGAAAATAATAGAAGATTCGATTCTAAAAAGCATATTCGCAAAAATCCAGTTTATAAATTTAAATAACTGTAATTTTTATGAAGATCATCGTAATATATCAATAAAAATATCTTAGATAAAGGCTTAAACTCAAAGTTCATTGCGTTAATCTTTCTTTCAACTGACTTTACATAAGCTTTTATAAAAATGCTTGATTTGTATCACATTATCGGAAGATACCACGCAATAATAAGAATTTTTTCATTAATGTCACGTTCATTGTTTCTTTAAGGAGTTTTTATTCCATATCGAAGTATAATTTAAAACACCAGCAATTCAGATTATAAAAAAACAATAACTAATTCAGTATAACTGAAATGTACACAAAAACTACAAACTGTAATGTATAATGATTTGCACTCCTCCTACAAAAAATAACAGCCTGATCTATCTTCAAAACTTTGACTTTATAGCTATGATTATACTTTAAGTAAAATGTTTCAGTTAAAGCATCAGTTTAATATGTATGCTAGTTAGTCGGTAGTGTGAATCAGAACCATGAATAATCATGGATTACTTACTTACGCCTGTTACCCCCATTGGAGTATAGGCCTCCCACCAGTTTTCTCCAACCAACTCTGTCCTGGGCTTCCCTTACCAGTTCTGTCCAATGTTTGTTCATTCTTCTCATATCTTCCTCTATTTCTCGGCGTAATGTGTTCCTTGGCCTTCCTCTTTTCCTTTCACCTTGAGGGTTCCATGTGAGGGCTTGTCTTGTGACGCAGTTAGGTGCTTTTCGTAATGTGTGTCCTATCCACTTCCATCGCTTCTCCCTTATTTCCTCCTTTGCTGGCATCTGGTTTGTTCTCTCCCACAGAACGTTGCTGCTGATGGTGTCTGGCCAAAGAATCCGAAGTCTTCTGCCTAGACAACTGTTAATAAGTACTTTTATCTTCTGGATGATGCCTTTCGTAGTTCTCCAAGTTTCCGCTCCATACAATAGTACTGTCTTGACATCTGTATTGAAAATCCTGTTTTTGGTTTTTGTTGAAAGTTGTTTGGAGTTCCAGATATTTTTCCATTGTGGAAATGCAGCTCTTGCTTTGCCAATCCGTGCCCTCACATCTGCATCCGATCCACCTTTCTCGTCGATGATGCTGCCCAGATATGTAAAGGTGTTAACGTCCTCCAAGGCATCTCCATCAAGAGTGATTTGGTTGGTGCATGTTGTGTTGCATCGGAGAATTTTGCTTTTTCCTTTATGTATGTTGAGACCTACTGCTGCAGAGGCTGCTGCTACACTGGTCGTCTTCTCTTGTATTTGTTGTTGAGTGTGCGATAGAAGAGCCAGATCATCTGCGAAGTCCAGATCGTCCAGCTGCGTCCTAACTGTCCAGTTGATACCGTGCTTCCCTCCAGACGTCGATGTCTTCATAATCCAGTCGATGACCAGGAGAAAGAGAAAGGGTGAGAGTAAGCAACCTTGCCTGACACCGGTCTTCACCTCGAAAGAGTCTGTCATCTGACCTCCGTGCACGATTTTGCAGTTGAAATAAACATGGATGGTGAACATAAATCATTCTTTATTGTTTGTACGAATCTGTTGAGTTTTTTTAACATGAAATGCTTCCTTCAGTTTCAATTTATTTGTTAGACAGTGTTGGTAAAATTGAATGTTCATTCTAATTTCTGAAGTGACTATTCATTTACTGAAGTTTTGTCTTCTAATAAGAAGGACTTGTTAAATCAAGCATGAATTTAACGAAAATGTGATGAATCTTTTGTAAAAAGTTTAAACCAACTACCTGAAATATTGATTTACTTTTCTTTGAAATGAAACAATTTATAGATTCTTATTACTTTCTGATGTGAGCTAAAACTAAGTTAAAAAAAACAGACATGTTTGAAAAACTAATGTTCAACTTCATCATGATATATTGTGTCTAAATGATAAGCGATAATGTTGTTAGTGAGACGATAATTGATATCCAGAGTATGTCGACCAAATAGAACCCCGCTTTATAATTACTGTACTCCGCGTGTACTATTTACTCTATAGCCTAGAGTCACAAGCTCTCATCGAAGATAAACTAAAACTGGTAAGATTTTCCTTGACTTCATATCGAATTACTCTTAACTACGATTGATTCCCTTGAAAGAACACTTTATTTTATCATCAATCTTGAGTTCAAATAAGGGAATACAGCTGGAAAACTTATATTACTCTAGTTAAGTTATTCATAGATTTATATATTGGTGTACGGGGACGTAATGCACTATAAAATAAAAATCATCGCTTACATGAAAACAAGCAGTGAACAATGAATTAATCATAACTAAGGAATAATAAAACGTATATTCATAGTTAATATTCTCAACGAAAGCTTACAATAATTTCAGTCGAGAGATATATTGATTTAGTTGTTTAGTAATCATGCAATAAAAATATGTATTATAATATTTGGGAGTTATCACTCCTTTGAGATTCCTTCCGTTCTAGCAACATAATATGATAATGAAGTGTTTTTAGAGAGATTTTTCAAGTTCTGCAGTTAATTCTATCACGAACTGGTGTCCATTACTGAAAACCAGAAAGCATTAAACAGCCATTTTGTCAATGTTTATAACTCAACACGAGTATGTACTTATGGCGTAGTGAACGAACGAACCCAGAACTTTCAAATTTTTTGGTGTGCACAATACTCCAAAAACGATGATTAAGAGTCTAGTATCATCAATCCTTGTATGACCGGTTATATCTAACCTAGAAAGGATATTGTATCTTTAAAACCTATTCAGTTAATATGATAGTGTTGATAGTATTATTTTAATTGAAATATAAGACGAGAAAGTTATTACCGTTTTCTAGGTGAAATTTATCCGGACTCATATGTTCTAGTTCAGATTAATGTGAGCATTTATGTATGAACTCACAATATCTCACCTTCATTACCATAAATAAATTAACAGCCATCAACAACCTAAAGATTTACGTTCACTTAATTATTTGAAAATGTTTTCAGTGTTATGAAGATTTAATTCTGATAGCCTCTTTAGGAGGTATATTCTATTTAAAATATTTCTTTAATAAGCATCTCATCTAATGTATTATTGTTCGCATAAACACTAATCATTTACAACTGGACACAATTTGTTACCTTGATGATTTTAGATTTTCTAAGCTCAATTGATTATATAATTGTTAATCTTTCATTGCATTCCTGGATAGTAAGTAGTATAAACAGTTTCTACATGTAAAAGCAGTAAAAAATTAATTTACGTGCTTTAAATAGGTTCATGTAGCTCATTTTAATTTATATTGATTTTATTTCACATGTTTCGTTAATTTCTCAGGTCACTGAAATATCCTAGAAAAGTTAAAGAATTTACCAGTGTTATGTTAATTTTAATAATAAATCCCTAAGATTCCTATTCACTGCAAGATAATTTTTAACCTGATCAGCAACAACCTACTGTGGGAGAGAACAAACCAGATTCCAGCAAAGGAGGAAATAAGGAAGAAGCGATGGAAGTGGATAGGACACACACTACGAAAAGCACCTAACTGCGTCACAAGACAAGCCCTCACATGGAACCCTCAAGGCAAAAAGAGGAAGGCCAAGGAACACATTACGCCGAGAAATAGAGAAAGATATGAGAAGAATGAACAAACATTGGACAGAACTGGAAAGGGAAGCCCAGGACAGAGTTGGTTGGAGAAAACTGGTGGGCGGCCTATGCTCCATAGGGGGTAACATGCTAAAGTAAGTAAGGAAGTAAGATTCCTATTTACTTCAAGATAATTTTAACCTGTTAGCAATGTCTACAATGTTATTTAATTCGTCTTCATATTTAAAAATCAACGACTCGATACTAACATCAGTGTTCCGGGGATTACTACATTATTAATAACAATCTATATGAAATAAACTATTTGTTTAAAATAAAATATTTAAATACCAATCAAAAACACATAATGTGTTCATGTGTTCAATGCAAATTGTGAAGGTCAGTTTGTCACATAAATGACACAATTATAAATATCAGCTCGAAACACATTATGTGTTGAGTACATGCTGACATTTAAATTAAAAACACACAAGTGAACAGTGACATTGAATGAGTACAAGTCAAAAATGTTAAAAGCGAATCGTTTGTTAAATATGTATGTTGATTTTCTTGTTTTTTCGAGTGTGTTATTGAAATTTACTTCTTTTTTTGACAAAAAAATCAGTTTTAGTATAAAACGCGGAAATAGTCAATGGCTGTTATGCAATCAATCGAAAAAAGCATTTCATCTAAGTGCAACTTTGGATAAACTTGCTCGAACACGTGCTCAACTAAGTGATGCTAAGAAAATAGTCATTAAATTGGGCAGTGCAGTAGTAACAAAACCGGATCGTAGTGGTTTAGCACTTGGTCGATTAGCTGCTATAGTTGAACAGATTGCGGAACTTTGTCATCAGGTAAGTTCAACATCTTGCTCATTATTTCAAGTAAGAATATGGTTTTAATAAGATATCGTTTTCTATATATCAGTTACTTAATTAATATCATTTTTTTCAGCAATAACATGTTCTTTATGTTCAATATATATATTTTTTGAAAATATATGTTCGTGAATTTTAATTTTGTAAATGAGTACATGTAATAATGTACAAGAGTGATATAATTAAATTACCTAACTTCCAGTGCTTATAAAATCTAGTTTTGTACTCCGAAATGGTGATTTAAATCATTTAAATGAGTTTTCGCTGTCATGTTGTTTATCACTAGAATTAAACAAATCAATGGGACACATAAACACTGGTCCATCCACTTGATCCAATTTTAAACAGAATCAAATTTGCTTCCTAAAATAAGTGAACAGAAAAAGGCAATACTATAAACATATATAATTTTCACTGTTAAAGCTACAGATTCTAGGTTTGCAGCTTAGCATGAATATATCAACACTAACTGAAGTAATTCTATGCGTGATCAGTCACAATGAAAAGTAAAGCTTCATCATAGATGATACTATTAACTTACTACACAAAATAATATTGTTTTATTTTTCAACCTATGTTCAATGTTTCACAGAATAGTTAAAATTTATTCAACATAATGTTTACTAAATAATAAGTGAAAATCTCTATTCTTCAGAAAACTTACTTAAAGAATGGAACAGCCAATTAAAAATTTATGTGTGAAGAGAAAATCACTCTTCAAATTCGTTTCATATATACGTATAGCTTTTGTTTTGTACTGTGAATTTTATTCTATGTTCAGTAAAGTATGAGATTACATTTCACACATTTTAACAACCAACCAACTTATTAGATATGGTTTCATATTGTTTAATTAACATTTTCCACTATCCCAATCAATCACTCTTACTAATCTCTGACCGCAGCAGCTACCTTGACGTGGTGGTTGGGCTTGCCTATCGTGATGACCCAGCCGAACTATATTGGTTGGAACATATGTTCCTGAAGGTTCTACCATGTCAGGCAGGTCGACTGTAGAACGATGAGACTAAAAGCAGCTACTCAAGGTCTGAGGGCGAATTCGTACTGCTGACTGCAGAGGGGTATGACAGCAATAAGGTGTTTCCCTCGGACAACCAGCATCTGCAGCGATGCTGCTTTCTCACAAGGAAGGAAGGGTTAGAAAATGTCGACCCTAAAAATGTCACACCTCACCCTACCTCACAGATTTCCGTATCCGGTGGTAAGGGTGCAAACTAAGGGCTTTTAAGAGCGGAGCTAATACTCAACAAACCTGTAATAAAAAACTGTGAATGACCGATCTGAAGTAGTTGTCCCTTGGGCTCTGCGGTCACGCTGTCAGGTCTCTAAGACTGAAACTGATCTACCTTCTTCTTCACGTCCCGCAAGAAACAACCTTCGACGGTGTGGGAAGCCGGGAAGTGACAACCGCCCTCATACTCGTAACAACACGCGCGACCAAATTGGTCGAAATCAAATCCTTCCTACACACCCTCGCTTACTAATCTTATTACATAATAAATGATATTTATTAAAAATAGTTTCCCGTTAAAAATCTACAAAACTAACTGTCGTTTTTATAATGTAGTGGTAATATAGAGTAATCCGTGATTTCATGAAATGATAAAGAAGAATTGGCTCTATTTATAAGATGATTTTGTTGAAAGTGTATACTGTAAACTGGGTGATGTTAGTTCAAACAATATAAAAACAACATATATATATATATATATATATATATATATATATATAATTCATATTAATGATTATTACTGTTATTATTAGCGTTATTGTATTCCAATACCGCATAAACACTGAATTGATTTATTGTACTGTTTATTGTTGCTTGACAATCACACATTTTCTTTCTACTTCTATTTCACTGTATTCTGTTAGCAATTTACTGTATTCATTTTCACTTGATAAGTATTTTTATCCAAATAATTTGGGTAGAAATAAAGAAATTAGAAATATTTAGTTTTTAATTGACTCATTGTTATCACTATTAAGAAAAATTTAACAAGTGGATATAACAAAAGGAACTACTACTAATGAATTGGTTATCTGTTAATTTAATGCTATTGAAAACAATCATAGTTGATCAATCTACCATGAATTCACAGGCAATTGGGTACAAACACTTGAATATAAAATTCCTATACCTAAAATCTTATCTTACCTAAATGATTCAAAGCTGTGTCCGTTATTGTCGCCAGTTACTGAACTGTTTCATGATGTAAGTCAGCAAAAACACGCTCAATCTATTATGAACTTGTTTAAAAACATTGACAGCACTTATTTTATCAGACAAGTATTGATAACCAACTCAATTTAACTAGATAAGAAAAATTAGTTTAAAGAACCATTCCGTCTATAAAATTTATAACATAAAAATTGTAACCCATTATTGATGAGCTGTTCAGTTTTTAAAAACCGTTCAACAGTAATGTTTCAGTATTGGATGTCACTCTAGTATAAGTCTATTCTCTAACCAAATATTCCAGAGATGAGGGCTGAGCAAAGGTCCGTCGGTCCTTTCGGTACTGTATGTGCGCCTATCTGATGACTTTCGACCAATAAACTAGTTGAGTTTGGATCACTATATCCTAATCATCTAAGTATGTATAGACATTTACAAAACAATGTGGCACAAAGTTTTTAACTCAATTAATACATTCCAAGCATGACTGTTAAAATTTATTGAACAGTAAGGTATTTAGACATGGCGCTTAATGTAGAAGGTATGGATTGATCTTTGAATAATTATAATATATACGTAATAATCAATCGTCCACAAGTTGGACAAATACATCATGGTTAATTATGAAAAACTATTGATCAATACGCTTTAAATCTTATTTACCACTAACTTGAAATAAATAATAGCCACGTATCAAACAGTAATATAATTCTCATTAAACTCTATCACTAGGTCATATTTGCTAATCAGAAACGAAAGGATTTATTTGTCCAAACTCACTGTTATAAATATTTGCCTCTGTGTATGTGAGTGTGCTTGTGCAAATGAGTATATTTTAAACAGACTGATGTGTCAGTAAATACTTGCTATCAATAAATAAATCATTAGTTCATTTTGTGTCACAAAATGTTTATGCTTCTGTCAATGCTATCTATACACACACATACACAGATATCTATTTACTTAATTAAAAAAGTGACATGTCAGTAAATACAATGTTTAAATTATAATTTGTATGATTCCAATAGCCTACTAATATGATATATACACATAGAAATATTTAAAAGTTCTAGATTTGGGTAATGTTTATTGTGAATATTTACAGTGTATTAGCCTCAATTTTTTGCACAAACATTGTTAATTCAAACAAAAGTTAATTAATTAAATCAACATCATTGACTGAGATGAATGGTGGATTAGTGTTTAAATGTGATGACAAAACACTGAAGGCAAACAACATCATATATTAAAAATTTTTTAATACGGAGAGTGGAAACTGATTCCGAGACATTACGAATTTAATAGAGTAGGAAGTGTAATCTAAAAGCATCATACCCATTGAATGTTTTTTAGGGTTCTGGAAATTCACTAGTGATGAGTACTATCTTCAAGCTTCACAGATTTCAACATAAAGCACTCAAGTTGGTGATATTTGAATTTTCCTTAGTAAATAGCTTAGGAACAGATGTTCAGAGGCTTTAAAAGAAAGTCATTGAAAGTAGAATTTCCTAATTTGGAAGGAGATAGAAATATATTTTCAGATATATTTTCAGAATAAATGATTGACCTGCTGTTTTCTCCACCTGCTACATTCCTCAGTTTATCTTTATAAGGCTTTGGCATGTACATTTCAGATTAATATCTGATGCGAAAATAGCATAGCACTGAAGTTCATTGTCCACTAACGGATCACAATCAGGGCTTTCAAACATCATCTCCAATTATTAACAAGATGAAGTTTATCAGGAGATTAAACTGTCATAACATTAGAAATTCTTCAAAACCAGATTTGATTAATGATATATTTTGTTGTTCTGAAAAAATTAATAATCATCACAATCAATTTGTTGCTTGTTTTCGTCACGGATTGATTTTTTTTGAAACACCTTTGAAAACCATGTACTAATGAAACATCTTCGTCATCCAACCATAGGACTTCTCAATAGTGCAGCCTATAATTTTACCATGGGTCATATTCGTTATTATTACCCAACGATCATGTGATTGTGCTGGCTATGCGTTGAGATGGTGGAGAAAATTTGTAGCTCAGGTGGATGATTGTGGTGGTGTTTCGTTTTCTGAGCTGGATGTTTTGGTTGTGAAACCTTCATTGTTCTTCTGAACAACATCATCAGCACAAACTTCAGATGGAAGTGAGGCATCTCATTTTCTCCACGTTTGACCTGTAGCTTGTTCTGCTGACCTCGATCTTGATTGGTTACTGTTGACCTTAAACCTATCGTTGTTTGCATCTTTGTTTGATTGTATCCCCTTTTTGATCTGTTTCTTGATCCTATGTCATCTATGATTTTTCTGATTGATTGATAAATTGGGTTAATGTCGATGTGTTTGTTGATTACTGATTGATCTGAGCGCCAAGCTTCTAAAAATTGTCTAGTGTTCTTTGTCCTTCCCCTATCCAGTACTTCCACAATGTTCCAATCGAATGTATGTACATAAATGTCGGTTTGTGTGAGCACTTCACTTGCATCTGAACTCTGTGCTGATGATGGTGTTCAGGAGAACAATAAAAGATTCACAACCAAAACACCCAGCTCAGAGAACGAAACACCACCACTACGGAAATGCGTTCCCAGTGAGGCCTGTAATGGAGTCCTGTATTAGGATGAAACAACTGTCAAGTACTTCCTGATTTTTTCCAATTGAGACCAGTCTGTGGAAAATACAATTTATAAATTAACATAATCATTAACGTCTTGGATAACTATCCATAAACATTCTAAATCACTGACGGATAATTCAAAAATATTACATACTTTTGGGAATCACGAACCATTAAAATCATATACACTGATGATAACTAACTGTTAGCAATAATTACTGTAATAAAAACTGATATATTTTGTTCCACAGATTTTCGAAATGTACGGAGAAAAACAGATATCACAGAATAGTTAGATCCTGTTTAAACTTCATTCTGCACATACATAATCAAAATAGTAGAGTAGTCAAAATAACCTGCGTACGTAATAACTAACTTATCATCATAAATAAGTTAGTAGTATGATGAAAAATGTAAACAACAGTGATATTAGTAGATCAAATTACACAACTGAATCGACAGTATACTGCTCAGTGTTTTTTCAAAGCTGATAAATTAAGCTCTTTATCATATTCCATTTCATTGTTTCAACCATTGTCTAATAAAAAGCATAATCCAGTAGAAATTTAAACTAGCAACAATGACAGGTGTCGTATCTAAAAGAAAAGTTGTACATTTCTATAATACAAGTGATTTCTGTTGACTATGAAATGTGTTAATGGATGATTCTCAGCGATTTTCACTGTATTTCCCTTCAATCCTGTTTCATGTTGCTGTTTACCATTAGTTTGTTTAAACTTTAAACAATTATACACTTTAATATTTCTTACTATCAAACTTTTATTGATGACAATTTTACCAAGAATATTATCTTGTTATTATTCCGTATTATTACTTATACAGCTGTCAACATACTGACACTACTACTAACAATAATAATAACAATATTCTTTGTATCATGATTAACGACTGATATAGTGTTTAATCAGCTATTACTTTTGGCAGAAATTTATTTGACAATTTCTCATTTGTTCTATTTATTTCGTTCAATAACATTTTATGCATTTTCGACGTACTTTTATCAGGATCGCCAATGTCTTCTGGTTACCAGTGGTGCAATTGCATTAGGAAGGCATCATCTTGAAACAGATGAGAAAAAAAGTAGCCGAGGAGCTCGAGCAGCTATTGGTATGGCAGAAATGGTTACATTATATGGTCATCTATTTGAACAATGTGATCTTCGAACAGCTGCTGTATGTTTATTCTTATTTTGTATGCATTTCAAATAATACAAATTTGAATCTGTTTATAGTTTATAAAATGTGATAAATCCAATCAAGAATTCCCATTATTAAAAGTAATAATAAAAATAAAAACTTAGCTTATTGTTATTCACACATTGAAATCAATCAATCATTGGTAGACAACCAGTAGAAGCCTTGAAACACTGGTATGGGACTAGCTTCGTGAGGAAATTCTCGGAGTTCCAGTGAGAAGACCTGACCAGTGGAGTTCAAACCCAGTCGGCTGTAGGCAGTAACTACCAAAGACAAATGGATGAGGTGGCGAAAAATCTCTAGATTGATCAGAGTTGGACTAACACCGTTGGATGCCGGCACTATGGTTCAGAGGTTAGGCGTTCGTGCGCAAAACTGAAGGTCCTGGGTTTGAATTCTGCGAGGTGCATGAGTCGTGGATGCGCAGTGCTAACGGGTCCATACCAGGACGAAACGGCCGTCCGGTGCTTCCAGGTTTACAATGATGGTCTAACAATGATTGATTGATTATTTCAATGTGTAAGAACACTAATCTCCCCTACTCCATTTGAAAGTCATTGTTATACACTACACTTTTTTTCTGTTGATATGTGATCAGTATCTATTTGAATTTAGCCTCTTTAGTCAGATGCTTCAAAACTGACACTAATTACGTTGTAATCACACTATAAAATGATAGCTTGCATAGAAAACAAAGAGATTTCTTTCTTCACTTTTGGTTCTCGTTAGTTGATTAGATGTTTATTTATTTCAGCATTGAATATGTTTAAAGACATAAGCCTCTCCATATAATAATAGTTACAAAACCAATTTAGCGTAGTGACATTTTCACCCAGTAGATTAGGGGACAGTGTGTTAACATTACACTACAACGTTATAAAATACAATAAAAGTTCATATATTTTACTTTCTTTCCCATTCAGATGTTATTGACACCTGTCGATTTTGATGATGATCATCGACGAGCATATTGGCGTACAGCACTGCAAGATTTATTAAATCAAGGCGTTGTACCAATAATCAATACAAATGATGCCGTTGCTTGGAGTAAGGAAAACTCTACTGGTGCAACATGTACCGTAAGTAGATTCGAGTGACTAAATGAAGAAATTGATAATTAAATGGAAAGTTAATACCAAAGACCAATCAGAACCTACTGAATATCTGTTTCTTCCCAGTACGGGACTCCTTAAAATTTCACAGACATGAATCCCCTGAGGATTGAATCTAAAACAAACGTCTTACACTAAAAGTAACCATGAACTCACGAAGGATTAGTTTTGAGAGCATCAAATAGAATGCAGTTACCCACCTCATGATAAATTATCGTAAATTAATAGAAGTTGAAATTTTAAACCGTCGAATTTCAATTCAGTGGCATGAATATTTAAATACTCGCTATGAAATTTGAATATTCTGAGTGCCATCTTCTGTGTAGTTATGCTTGTGCACAACCAATGAGCCTTTTATTAGGAGAAACTAGCTATTCAGAACGTTATTAGTTTTTAATGACTGTTTTATTTGTGTCAGTCTGTAATGAAGAGTATGAAATTCAACAGTCTTCGCAAAGTCCTCTAACTAATAAATAGAAATTATAGAACTTCAATCCAAAAAGATAATGCTTAATGGTAATTATGACTAGATCCCTCTATCTTAACTCCTATGTTTAGCATTATCATCAATGTCTCCATCCTTTTTGTCAAAGTAAACTTGTTCCATTTATCTGTTAAAGAGAAATCATTCAATATATACCTTTGTAAGTGTAAACTGTTTTTAGAGTATGTTAACCCTTGAAATCAATTAATGTATTTATTTCATGCTGGAAGAATTTAGTGTTATTTATTTTGTTCAACATCTTATTCAATTAACATTGAATTGTCTGTCTTATCAGAATGATTCAAAAATCAATTATTTATCATTTTAACTTTGTTTAAACTTTTAATTAACTGTGCATTGAAATTTTATTGTTAATATATTCATAGTATTTCATATTTATTAAATTATGTTAATCGTTACAATTCAACTAATCAATATTTGTAAATCATTCACCACACAAAAATGTCTGTAGTCGATTGTAAGTCATACTGTTTATTGTAAGATTGTTGTCATTTGAAAGCCGAATAAGTTCAATACTCAATCACTTAAGACTTTCACTGCAAAGAATTTAATATACTAGCATACTCGACTGTGAGATATCTGTATTCTGTTCCATTTGAAGGTAAATAAACACTGAAGACATAATTAAAGTAGGATGAATAAAAACTGTTCAATGCTATGCAGCTGGCAATTGTTTTCTAGCTGTACTCTGCTGATTGAATTCAAATTCACTTTCTTCACTTTCTCTATTACTGAAGCTTCTTTTTTAAAGACAAAGGATTTTAAAAATTAAAAATCCTATCCAATACTAAAATTATTTTCATGTCAGTTTAGATCACCTTAAATATTTGATTACGGCAAATGATAGTATAATAAAAAAAACAACTTTTTCTCATCATTTTCCTTCATCTTTAGGATACATCTTTAGCTCCTCAAGTACGTGACAACGACAGTTTAGCTGCTCGTTTGGCATGTGAATTAAAATCAGATCTATTACTTTTAATATCTGATGTAGATGGAGTATACACTGCACCACCCGGCAGTCCTGGTGCTCGATTTGTGGCCGAGTATGAAGTAGCAAAAAATCCAGAATATGATACTCTCTCATCATCAGTGAACGGGGAATTAGTGAACTTTGGTGAAGCATCTTCTGTTGGTACTGGTGGCATGAAAAGTAAAATTACATCAGCAGTTTGGACTGTTAGACAAGTAAGACAATAGTTTCTTTTAAATACACATTTTTTTCAGCGATGAATAATTTTTAAAAAATCATTGACATGGTCCAGTAACATCAAATTTTTCAGCGGTCCAGGTGTTTATGGCATATTTTGATAATCATAGACATTAGTGCCTATAATACTTGATGATGGTAGATATACATAGTTTTAAGCTGCTATATTTGAAAATCTGTGTTAACTAAGAGGAAAACATCCAAATATTATCTACTTAGTGATGAATCTATTACTACTACTTACTCGGACCGACCAACTTAAAGAAACAATATTCTTATTAGTGTAACAACTCTTCCTACTGTAGTTTATTACAATCTGACTATGAGATTACGGAGATAATTTGTAGTTCAGGTGGATGATTGTGGTGGTATTTCGTTCTCTTAGCTGTATGTTTTGGTTGCGAAGCTTTAATCATTCTTCTGAACCACATCATCAGCACAAACTTCAGATAGACTTCTATCTAAAGTTTCTGCCACAACAATCTATCTAGAATGAGTGCATTATGAACTGAACTGTAGTTGAACATCATAACGATCTGGTTCAAAAAGAAATGTCAACCACGTACAATAATTATGATTCGTTTTTTTTAATCAAAATTAGACAAACGTTTTCATTATTTATGATTGTCCTTGCGTCGCAAATAAAACTCTTTCTGTGGTGTCAACTATATTTGTTGACTTTCAGAATAATTTAATCATGTTATGAGAATGCAAACAACACTTTTATGAAATCGGTAAATGTTCTTCATGAATTTCAGAATATTCTTGAAGGGAAGAAATTATAATTTTGTGTGAGATAGATAGATGTAATAGGTATGAAAACATTGATTATCTGTAATCTGACTTTAAATTTCATAGTCTTGTCAAGCTAACAAATCTCATCAATAAACCATCCAGTTATTGATTAACCTTTTAATCAAACGTAAGTATTCGCTACTTGACCTGAATCATTCGATTAATGATCAGAAGTAGACAACCTGATCGTTGTACGTGCATATCAATGATTCATTGTGTTTATCTGAAAGTTGAAGTTTTACAGAAAATAAAAGGTAATCATCTTTTTAAATTTTCATAATAATAAAAAGGGGACTTCAGTGGTCATAATCCGAGGTAGCAGATTTAACTGTATCACAGATGTAATGAATGGGGTAGATGTTGGGACATTTTTCACACTGGAAGAGAAAAATGAAGCTGAAAATTCAGTCAATACACGAGAAGAAGCAATTAAACAAATCGCCGCTAAAGGTAACATGAGCATATACATTGAATAATATTGAATTTCACATTGTTTGGCTTGACAGAAAAGATATTTTAAAAAATATTCAAAGTATATTAGTCACAATATTATGCAGCTGTTGATTAATTATGCATCAGTTTCCTATCTTACGTTTCATAATTATTAATTTTTTAACGATTAGTGACATAGACATTTATTATTAGTCTAAGGACATTGTACAAAAATATTGAATCTTGCAGTTGTACCAAATTTAATCCTTGATGAAAAACTTTAAAATAAACAAATGAAGTAAATCATAGTTCTAGATGAAATTTATTGAAGAGTTTCTTTATATTTTGAAGCGTCATCAACACATTTATATGCTACGTGTACTAACTTAAACAAACCGTTTGATAATAAATTTGAAATGGTCTGATTTCCTTGAAAAACCTGAAGATCTTAAATTCATGTTCATACAATTTTGAAGAGTCTAAAATCACTTGAGCACTTCCCGGTCTCTGATAGTTAGTCAATTATCAAACAAACAAAAATGTGAACAACACTATTTCACCTTTAAAATTACTGTTTCATTCCTGGTAATCATCTATGCAAGATTTAATTAGTGATGTGTTATAACAGATGGAAAATGTTACACTTCTGTATAGGTGATCAAATGATTAGATTGACATTAATATCCAGTGGTACAGAAATACTGACAGAAAATTCAGTTAGTGAAGAGATTTATTTTTTATTACGAAGTGACACTTTCGAAATACATATTAATTAAAACACAAATAAAAAATCTGACTAAAATATATTTAACTATCAAAGATTCAAATATTTTATATCACCCATCATCCAGTGAAAATAAGACTGATTCACCAGGCTTGATTCTTACCTACTACATCAGTTCATTGTTTTCGATTACGATGCACAATTTGGGACCTTACAGAAGATTCAGACTAATGGCTCATCAGTTGTTTTTCTTTACACAAAAACGGTTTTTATTCTTCTAGCTAATCTCTGTTAATAACACATTTTCGTTTCAAGAAAATGTAGAGAAAAACATATTTTCAATTTCAATGATTGTAACTGATTAGAGAGTAAGGTGATTTGAGAAATGCCTGTTTTATGTTACAGGCCATTAAATATCAGACAATCACAACATATAACAGAAAACATATATTACTGAAATATTCACTTGGTGATATAATCAACAAACGCAAGTTAGTACAGTTTCTCATTTCACTTTAATATGATTTACTAAAATGAACTTAACGAATAACAAAGAAGTGGGCATTACAGTAGTAGGAATAGCAATGAGAAAAGGCTAATATTATGAACTGATTTTGAGACGAAGAGATAAAAAGATATGTGTGAAAAAGTATTCGACCTAAATATTTACAGAAAGATAAAAAGTGAATATATATCTGGATCACTGGTTGATTCTGACTTACTTCACTTAACATATTCAATCAGTGATTACAATTACTTTGAAGACCTAATAAACTGTGCTTTTTTCATGGCTGCATAACGATTCATGTAATATTTAGTCATCATAGACAACTTTAATTGGACTACGAAGTCGAGTTGGATAAATCACCTGTTTTATTGTATTTCAGTTGTTAGTTAATAGACTTAGACATGTTTATTCATAAGAAATTAGCCATTATTTGAAGATGCTTATTTTAATTAAATGAAATCAACTTCATATTCAGAAGAGATTATTGTACATTGAAAACTAGATTTTAAAAAAATTCAAATTTACCTCAGCAAACAGTATTATGACCGAACTAATAATTGAAATATTTCAATCTATGAAACTTAATGAATATTCCATGTTAATTAAGAATCGATTATCATAGAATTCAGAGAATTTCACTTGATCGTGTAAACTAAGTACAATTTAAACCAATAAAATGTATTTTAAATTTGATTATTGGTCTTCTCATATTTCTTAATATATAAAAGCTCGAGAAGCCAGTGTGTTGTTGAATTCATCTACACCTGAGGCTAGAGCAAATGCAATCGACTATTTGGCCGATAAACTTTTACAACATGAAGATGAAATTATTTGTGAAAATGAAATTGATATGAAAGAAGCTGAAACAGCGGGTATGTTTATTTATACTTATTTATTTATTTATACTTGAATTTTTTAATATATCAATGAAAATATGAATTCCTTGAACAGACGTTAAACAATAACCTTTAATAAGAAGTAACGCATACTTCAAAATTCACACTAAGTTTGTGATCTGTACAATATATATATTTGTACATTTTATCATTAGGAGAATGAGGATGTAGCGCCTCCACATATATCCTAGTTCGCTCACATCTAACTTGGTTAAGCCCTTTCGATTAATTTATTGAACTAAGCAATTTGTATTGCAACAACTTATATGTACCATTCGTTCTTATTATTGTCTGGTTTGTATGAGCTCACATGACGTGTCCCACTTGTCATTTGATCTTGTCAACTATTCGTCGCTTTTATTCATGTGTGCCTATTTCGCTTGTCGCGTGTCTGTCTTATATTTGTCTGACTATATAGTCTTAGTCACGCTCTATCTCTTTGACTTGACTCATCAGCCTTCTCCACATTGCTTCTCCGCTTCGCTTTGTGGTGTGTCCCAAATAAACGTATTCATCACTTCGAGTTCACCTTCTGATTTTTAAACCGTCAGACGCTAGTTAGTAACAATTGTCTGGACGAGCTAATTGCGAAGCCTAAGAACACTCAGTAAATCGGCACACTACAAGGATATAAAGCTTTGGACTTTTAATATTATAATCATCCTTATGAAAGCCGAAATCTCGACTTCAGTTGAGGGAACCTATTCGAAGGAAATACTTTTAAACAAATCGGACCCGTAATCTCCTCATGTTTGTTTTTCTTCAGTCAAAGACAATAAGCGACTTAGTATGAATATATACGTATCCAGGCAGCGAAAAGTATATACGTATTACGGTCAACCACATAACTGTAGAAAATTTTCCACCAACCTAGATTCTCCATTCTAGGTGTCCAACAACTAAATCAAACATTTCTAAATGCAAAATTATGTTTTAAAATATTTTTGAATGTGACTAAACCATAGAATATACGCGTAGATGAAATAGATTCTTTTCATGCTACTATTTTCGTAAGAATTTTTCTTTAAAACTCTAATTAACATAATACTAACTTTATGTAGATAATAAATGGTATCCAGTTTACTGAAAATAAAAAGTATTTCCACATTAAGCTGTATCTTACAGTCCATCGTTATTTTCAATCTCAATAAGGGTTTTACTTTCTGTCTAGCAAATTAGACATAAGATACTTTTAAGCAATGATATTATTGGGATGGTCATACTGTTTTGAATAAAATTATTTCATTATACAATATGTAAGCAGTCATTCATTATTTATGAATGTATTTTGTCTTTTGTGACCTTAGTAACGTGTAAATTTCTAAACAATAGCAAGTTTGTCTGTTAGACAAAATCATTCTCAACTAATTGACTAACATTTTACGTATACAAGTGACTGATAACATTTGAAAGTTTAATTAATTATTTAAAATAACAACTGAAATATGTTCAATATTTTTGGTGCAATGTCGTAGTAATAACTCCTTCCAATAGATTAAAAATTATTGTCAAGTGTCCAATTTTTGAAAGGCTAACGTAAAAAATGAAACTATATTTAATAGCCACTTATTAGTTGAACCCTGTAAAGAAACTGTCTGTTCTAACGACTGAGTGATTATTGTTTTGCTGGTCAATTGGTATGCTTGAATGATTGCGAGTTAACATTAGTCGGTAAACGAGAGCGAAGACAAATGATCCAGTGACACGATAGACTACTCTCTAATCCAAGCGTCCCAAGGCCCCACTAAGTAGAGAAAGAAGTCTTGATATGGCGTAAAAAGTGTATTCCACAAGCACCCAGAAAATCGTAGTTAGAGACATACAAATCGAGTTTATTTATACTTGATAGAAACGTCTTTGGGAGAGCCACAAAAATAGCACACTAAAATAACCAATCAATCAATAGCAGCCAAGGATTTTCCAGATGGAAAATGCAATCTCAAAATCAACTGATCAGCCCATGCGCTAAAACATAAAATTCGAAATTAGAACCTTTATCAACTGAGTTCTGGGGATCCAACCTCCCCAACAATTAATTATGAGAAACATGAAAATTCTACAGGAACCAAATGACAGCAAGATTACTAATACTACTTTGACCATTTCATTAGGTGACTTTATATTTAATATCATTTCCGTTAAGTTCGAATACATCGAATTCAAAACGAATGAATCCGGTCATTTAGCATATTATTGACGTGTATAAGTTGATAAATGATTGTAAACGTAGTTATCTGTTAGTCGCATTAATGACGGTAAATTTCAGAAATAAAATAAAGATACTACTATCTCATCATGAAAAGTAAACTTAATATCATATTTTTGGGGGTTTGATACACCTAGTTTTGAAATTCGTATTACTGAAATTTTCCAACAACTGTATTTCACATTTTGACATTTTGCAAATAAAACTACTTTTGTAAATAATGAATACTGAAACATTCATTATATTACTTATATGATCAAAATTGAAATACATTTTATAATTTGTCTTTCATAAAGGGATTTCACCTATTCTATTGGCTAGACTGCAATTAAGTCATTCCAAGATAAAAACGTTAAGTGAAGGACTTAGACAAATCGCCGCTGAGTCACGTAAACGTCATGGTCATGTTAACCGTGTTCTGTCTCGTATTAAAATAGCTGAAAATTTAATTTTGGAGAAAATTACGGCACCTATCGGTGTGTTATTGGTAATATTTGAATCAAGACCAGATTGTTTACCACAGGTTAGTCTTTTGTTTAGTTTAATAACATTATTTAAAGAGGTGCTTATGATTATACTTACTTACTTACTTTACCCTGCTACCCCCAATCAAGCACGGGCCGCTCACCAATTTTCTCCAACCAACTCTGTCCTGGGCTTCCCTTTCTAGTTCTTTCCAGTTTTTGTTCGTTCTTCTGATATCTTTCTCTATTTCTCGGAGTAATGTGTTCCTTCGCCTTCCTCTTTTCCTTTTGCCTTGAGGGTTGCAAGTGAGGGCTTGTCTTGTGACGCAGTTAGGTGCTTCTCACAGTGTGTCCTATCTACTTCCACCGCTTCTTCCTAATTTCCTCCTCCACTGGAATCTGGTTTGTTCTCTCCCACAGTTCGTTGTTGCTGATCGTGTCTGGCCAAAGAATCCGAAGTCTTTTGCCTAGACAACTGTTAGTAAGTACTTGTATCTTGTGGATGATGGCTTTGGTAGTTCTTCAAGTTTCCGCTCCATGCAGTAGAACTGTCTTGACATTTATATTGAAAATCGTGATTTTGGTTTTGGTTGAAAGTTGTTTGGAGTTCCAGATATTTTTCAATTGTAGAAATGCAGCCCTTGCTTTGCCAATCCGTGCCCTCACATCTGCATCGGATCCACCTTGGTTGTCGATGATGCTGCCCAGATGTATAAAGATGTTAACGTCCTCCAAGGCATCTCCATCAAGAGTGATTTGGTTGGTGTATGTTGTGTTGCTCTTCATATAGTATTACATAACTTCAGTTTGCTTACCAAGCACAGTATCAGTACTGCTGATTGCTATGAATTATTACTGAATGTTATTTGCTCTATTCACTTGTAGCTAATTAAATTACTTCTTTAAAAATAATTCCGATGCAAGAACACGGATTAAATAAGGCTTCTATCTATATGGTATTTATATACCTCAGCAATTAGACCATGACATACTTCATAAAAGAAACTAAATTTAATATAAAATCAAGTCCTATGTGAAATGAAATGAAGCAATAGGTGAATAATTTATTAACAAAAAACTCATTTGAATAGTTACCAAATGTAACCAAAGCTTACATTACTGAGAATATGAAAGTATGCCTAAACAATAGTTATTCACTAATTATACAGTAAAAGTTTAAACAATCATTCTCAGTGGAATAGTTACAATTTACTTGGTACAACAGAAATATATACACAGAATTATTTTCTCTGAACATCATCAAGATAATTTTATTAGTTTACTAATGAAATGGATTATATTAAGCGTTATTCTAACAATAGTTTAAGTTAAACTGTCTTGCCTATAGAGTTGACTAAATTCCGACGATCAAGTTGTGATGCGTTTTCTAAATGAGGTAGTGTGGTTAAAATTTTTTCACTGTGAATGATTTAAAGCAATTTTTATGAATTTTATGAATCCGGGTTTCGTTTATCAGCAAACATCACAATGAAAAACGCTACTACTCAGCTCTTAGGCAATGACTGACATCTCTAAGGATAGTGATATCCGTTTACTAAGTACATATCATATTGTCTGTATCTAAATTCAAATCGAATTAACTCGAGAAAATTGGCATTCAGTTAGTTTGGTTAGATGTTCATAAATATCAATCATAAACATCTGTATTATCCCGTTAGTGATATTCACTACTGGTAGTTCTTTGTTATTTGAAGTGCAACAAGAAAGGCAATACTAAGTTAGTCTCAGTGTGAACTATCAACAGTGAGGTATTTCCATCTGAAAACTTATCAATTCAAAAAAAAAATACAGTTCGTATCTTTCATTGCTAACGCTGATCCAAACTGTAGCAAAATGTCCAGACAAAATTGCTTCTTCTTATTACTAATCAACTCAATAATTTCCATTTAGATTGCTGCACTTTCAATCGCCACAGCCAATGGTCTATTGGCAAAACCTGGATCTGAAGCTCTACATACTGTTCGTATACTTCATAGGCTTGTTGGTGAAGCATTAGAAATGGCTAATCTACCATCTCAAGCTATTGGTCTACTTGAAGGACGTAAAGATGTGGAATATGTTTTACAGGGTATAGACAAACAATCTTTTGTTGATTTAGTTATTCCAAGAGGTAGCTCAAAAATGATTGAAAGTATAATTAATGCAGTAAACAAAGCAGGTACTGGTGTACCTGTAATGGGACATGGATCTGGTATATGTCACGTTTATGTTGACGCAGCAGCTGATCCTGAGAAAGCTATAAAAATAGGTAAGTTTACCCTTTATTGTTGTTAAACGTATAAGAGTAAATTATTTAATGATAAAATTACTAGGCAGTATCACTACTAATACAGTTGATCATCGATGATCAATACTGTAGGATACATTTCAGTACCAGTCATATATAACTCTAACAGTTAAAGGAACGAAGACAGGTATATATAGAGAAATAAGTCATTTATTGTAGAACGTTAGATAATACTCTTTTCATAAGATATGTAACCGATTCTATGATCAACCACAGCAGCACTTTGAGCTGTGAACCTGAGCATAATATTTCAACTACGTCAGAGATATATTTGATATCATCAAATTTAAACAACTAGAAAACAACATTATTTGTTATCCCTTTTGTATATTCTAAACAATTTCTTTTTACTGACAATTCATTTGAAGTTATGTGAATAATCTTGGGTGTAGCTGAGGAGAATGAAATGAAACACGAAATGAATTCCTTATGTACTAGAAAATTATTAACCTACTCGCATTAGTTAATAAATCAGTAAATGCCAAATAAAGCCAACAGATTTGACAATTAACATGATTTAAGTATTGATTCAATGATTTTATGATAACATTTAAAGCAATAAACCAATTCTTAATGATAAACAGTTGTATTGTTGCACGATCGTAAAAGGGAACAGGTGTAAATAAGTAAGTAGGTAAGTAGGTAGGCAAGCAAGCGATGTTAACAGTAATAATAATAGTGTACAGGTTAAATTCTAAGCACCACTTGTTCCTGATACCGATAATATCTGAATTAACTTATCGTATTTAAGGGTTTTGTCAAGAAGTTTATTCCGATCGAAAAGTGATATCCTATTCTAATCCCACAGCTTAACACTAGATGGCTCAATTCTCTACCTTAACTTTTTATCTTAACAGCTTTAATCAAAAGTCCAGCTCGTCTACAATTACCTAAACCTAACGATTTTTTTTCACTTGCCATAATAAATAATTCAATATTAGTTACAGTTGACTGATTACGTCAAAATTACTCATCGACTGTGAATTAATCATTTTCATCGTTCTTTGTTTTGAATGAGGTCCTGTTTTTTTTATTGGCTGGTAAGTCGTTTGAAGTCGTCAGTACACATCGAATAATAAACATTACATAAATTATGATAAGGAAGCTTACACAGTTCATAATAACAAACAATATGAGCCATTCAACAATAAAATTCATCAGATAAGTTTTATCACTGTTAAATTGATGTTTTAGACACAAGAAAATTTTAAAACAGACATGTCCTAGAAGATTATTCACTGTGAATTGATTTGCCTTCTCATATTTTTTTTCGCACAGCTATTGATTCAAAATGTGATTATCCGTCAGCTTGTAATGCAATGGAAACTTTACTTGTGCATAAATCACATGCTGAATCAGGTTTATTAGAAAGGTTATGTAGTCATTTACGAGATCATAAGGTAAGTATCAACTAATGTTAAATCACATGTTTATCTATGAATCACTAATGGACGAACAGAGCTACGAAAATAAACATTCTGGAGTATTAGGTTGGCTTTGCTCATGGACAACAAAACAACTAATGATTGAAAATTAAGGGGTACTAGATAGTTGTTGCGCCTTAAACTGAGGCTTTTTAATAATCAATGAATCAAAAGTACTAATACATTTTCTTGAATAAAACTTGTGATGTATTGCGTAATGTTCAGCTTGGTGTTTCATGAATTAAATTGTCATGCATTTCAGTATGGTCATCAATAAAACTTTGATTTTTTTTCTCCCTAGGTAAAACTTTACGCTGGGCCAGGTATGATACGTTTAGGCCAAAATTTAACAGATGAAATGAAACCAGCAAAGAGTTTATCTTATGAATATGGTGATCTAGAATGTACTATCGAATTGGTAGAAAGCGTAGATGAAGCAATCGAACATATTGCATTGTATGGAAGTGCACATACTGAATCTATTGTAACAGAAGATAGTAAGAAAGATATTTTTCATTTTTTTCTCTGTGAAATGTTCTGTTTAAAACACTAGTATATATCGAAACGTATTTCAAAGCACGTTTAAAAATAGTTGAACAATTCAACTTTGTTGCAGTTTACTAATATCTTTCTTTGGTAATCACAGCATTTGTCTCTTTTTTAAATCTGGTCACATACGTGTAGTCATAAATTCAAACTGAAACTATAGGTATTCTTTGCTACTGATTATTTGTCACATAGTTCATTGTAGGAGATGCAATAAACTGCATTCACATAAGACAACTTCCAAGAAAACGTTTCATTCTTTTGATATCTGACATTCTGTATGGTTCGTCACTAGGTACGCTTGAAGCTATTACGAGCTCACCAGCGTCCAGGTAGGCACCTTGAATCCCAAGATGAAGATAAAAGTCTTTGTAAGCGTAGAAAGTATATTCTACAAACACCCAGCAATGACAATACAATCAAGCATACAACTCTCGTTTATTTATACATCATAGAAACGTCCTTGGGACAGTTACGAAAATAGCACACTAAAATACACAGCAGCCAATCACATCCATCGATTTTCCTGGTGGGAAATGAAATCTCAAGGTCAATTGATGAGCCCATGCTCGCAAACATGAAATCCGAAATAAAGCATTTATCAAGCGCGTTTTGGAGATCTAACATCACCAACACATTCTAAATGTAAGCATGTTAGTAAAGAAAAATCCTTTATTCATAAAATGTAGTCAAACAACTGCAGAAAATTTAGTTCAATGTAATCTGATAACAGTAGTGACACGGTCATGTAGCTTGGAAAAACTCCTGAACAATATGATTTGAATGATAACCTTTTTATGGACGTGTTCTTTTACTAAAAGTAGCTCATATGACAAAACCTGTAGCCTGTTATGATGACTAAAAAACAATCAAGGAGACATAGTCAGTCTTGTAAAGATTTATTTGTGAACTGTTTAAGTAATTTTCAGTTCAAAAATTAACCTATTTGATCTTTCAAACCTCTTCTTCCTTTTGGCATCAGAATCAATTCGGCAAAATGTTTGAAATAACTAAAAAGACATTGAACTGCTATTTAGTGGATTGTATTAGGTGAGAAAAACTTATTTGAATAGAATAATAATTATTATTATATAATTCATTTCAAAAGAAATTAGCTATGTACATGAAGCAGTTATCATCTTCCAATGAGAATGTGTCATTTTTGTCCATTACATTAATCGATTGATTAGTTTTGTGGAGAGTCTGTTAAATCTTTTAAAACTGTAAAATTTCAGATATTAATCGGAATAAAATTTATTTCCTTATTATCTAATGCTTACTGTGTTTGCCTTTTAATTATATATAGAAGCAACAGCGGAAATATTTCTTCAGAAAACAGACAGTGCATGCGTTTTTCACAATGCAAGTACAAGATTTGCTGATGGTTATCGATTTGGGTTAGGTTAGTGTATATACATGTTTGTCTCATTATGTATATACATATATATACTACCCAAAACAGTTATCATCAATCAATATTCCCCACCATACTACATTCTAGAATTATACATAGAAGAGAGGACATAACTAAATTGTTATGTAATGGTATTTCTCCATCCTCAACGAATGAAGCATAAGACCAGAAGTTTATGTAGCTCTAATTAGTAAATTGTACCATTATTCTACATGTTTGGCCTCCATTTTGATTCAACCAATATGTAAATCCAGTATAACGTTGTTCACTTTACTTCAGCTAAAGCTACAAACTAAAATGGATTGTCGTAATAACCGAATGTAGATTTGCATTCTTTAAACAAAATAAATTATAAATCGTAAGAATTTTATTTGAAACAGACAACATTACACCATCATATTATAAACTAATTTCTATATGAAATCTCGGTTGAAACTATAGCTGTACTCATAATATAAATGTGCTTGTAAAGTACAATTGTTTATTTGCGATCACTTCACCAATTCAGCCATAACTTATTCTGAAAAATAAAGTGAGAATAACACCTACGGCGACTTGAATTACGTAATATTATTGTTTTTCATTTAGCCAAAGCACATTAGAACCTGGCACACAGTACATCGGTTCAAGATGTCACATTTGAAATAATCAATGTCAATGTCAGTGTGGAAAAAAACTGATAAAAGTTAGTGATAATAGAAAAGCTGTATAAAAATATGCTGTTTGAACTAACAAAATGAACTGTAACACAAAATATTCATCTGTAATAAAGAAAAACCAACATCATATCATGCATCAATGGAAAAGACACTTTTCTGTAAATTACACTATACATCAAACTAGACTAATGATCACAGCTTGTTTTTTATTGAAAAATAAGAATTCCTTGGTATTTCTGTCATGTCCCGATATAGTAAGCAGTAGAAATCAGAAGTATCAAAATGGATTATGCATATGACATGAGAATGTCAAACTGAATACAAATTTATCAGGTAAAACATTCCACAGTAAAATGTGTCAGTTGTTAATAAGACTAGTAGAAAATATCTAGATGTGAATACAAACGAAAGAGATTTGTTTTAATTATCATTTCTTAACGTACATACTTTTAAATGTTTCAATCATAGCATAGATAATTTTATCTTCGTAACCTGTTGAAATCTCTAACTATGAAGCTTACACTTACTATTGAATGGAATGTTTCACAAAAATATTTGTATAGTGTTTAAAAAAAGATTTGCCAGTTAGAGAGAATTACCAAACATCAGCGATTAATTAGTGTGTGAATATATACTACTGTGAAATTTGCTTCGTTTTAAAGTAAATATTATACAAATTTATTAGTTAAAATTAACATCTTATCATGTAAAATATTCATCTGTTCGCTTGAAAATATATATTATTGATTTTTTCTAAACAAAACATAACAGGTGCTGAAGTTGGCATAAACACTGGGCGAATTCATGCTCGTGGACCAGTTGGTGTTGAAGGACTATTAACAACTAAATGGATTTTACATGGAGATGGACATTGTGTTTCTGATTTTAATTCAGGAAAATTAACTTACCAACATGAATCTTTATTCAATTAAATGAATCAATATATTAGTTTATGTTTATGAATATACATGTCGATAATCTGTTGAGAAAGTCATAATTTTTATACTTCTCTTGAGTGCATTCAGCGCTAGTATAATAAACCAATGTTTTTTAATTGAATCCTTTTCTTCAGTATTTACTGTAGACGAAATTATGATGAATCATAACAAAGACATTTATTAGTATTGTTTCAATGAACACTGGCATGACCGCCGAAGTCAAGCCTGTTCAAGCCTATAGCTCATGTAAATCCGTGACAAATATCCATTAAATATCGCTATAATTGACCATTGGTTACAATGAAATAGCTAAGTTGTCATTCCCCAGCATTAATTGCTCCTGCTGAAACCTGAATGCCAGCGTAATTGTTTAGGGAGGAAAGGCAATATGCTACCCTTCGCATACATGTCAGCTCAAGGTCAAACGGTGCAAATGAAATGCTGATGAGTGCATCTTTTTAGTCACGACTTACCTTAACTTGTTCAGAAAGCATCTATACAGTATTCGTTGAAAATCCAGCTTCATTTCCTGAGAGAACAGATATACGTTCGGCATACATTTTCGATCTAAGTTAGCCAATACAGTTTTGTATTTACTCTTGACTTTCTGTATCAAGTAGCTAGTTTATGTACGTATATAGGAAGCTTATATATCAATAGCAGGCTCAGATGACCTACTAACCTAACATAAAGTATATTACCAAATAGTTAATTTGAATAAATTTGGTAAATTTACAAATGAAATAAAATTGATCAAAAAGAAATTTACAAATCAAAATGAATTATTTTAAACATAAAATATCTGGGTTCATGTCTGAGATATCAACAAATTTAGTAATGAAGCGGGAAAATATGAGAAATATGAATGAGAATGAACAGTGAGTTCAGAAAGAGAATACATTTAGAGCAAAATACATTCAAGGAGGTCTATTCATATCAAGCTGACAACTTGATTTTTGAGCAAACATTTTTAGATTTAATAGTGAAGGATGAACAAACTGGATAAAATTCGGAAGGCTCGAACCCTGATGGCATTGAAGAGGCAACCTTATATTCTTACAACTACATTTATTCTAAAACCTGAGATATAACTAAGAGCGCAATTATAGCCTACTTAAATGATCTATTTTAGCTTTTGAACAGACTGGCAATTTAGAGAGCATTTGACTTTAAATCATTCTTACCATCCTAAATCTATATTCTTTGTGTAGGAACATTGTGATCTTCGGTATTATATACTTCCTATATTCATGCCCTTGTAATTCTACACCTATGCATCTCGTGTGTTTTTATGTGTTCCTATATCTATTATTTTATCCAATCTTTGTGTCTAATTATACATTGAATATTTGGAGTTATATTATCGCTTGTAATGAGTAATATTTTCAGTTGGCACGTTTTATTTTCTTCTATCCGGCTTTCTTTCATCCTATAGTCTATCCAAGTTAACGAATGTATAATGTATATCGATCCTAAGTCCTTTCTCGTACTAATTTATTTTATTTGGTTATTCACTAACGCTGATTAGGTCGATAAATATATACGGATTTAAGTGGAACATTAGATTCGTTAATATCGTCATTATATGAAAATAATAATAATAATTAGTTAAATAACAAGCCCCATATATTTATAAATCATCTGATTAGTAATTTATGACTCTCTATAATGCAAACACCCCTTTACTATAAAGCGCACTTGATAATCTATTCAAAAGTAAACGATTACTGTAGTAATGGCTTTTAGTTGTTTTTAAACAATCCGTTGTGGTCTGACAAGCAAAAACAAATTCAGTCGTTCAATAAACAGTAATTATCTTTGTGTTTTCGTCGAATAAATCAGGAGAAAATTTTTAAACTGTGACAAGCACAGTAAAACTTTATTCCTTTTTAAGAGTTATGATTAGTAACTGGCGGTTTTTTAGTTTGAACCTTGGCGGTTGTTAGTTTTATTCTGTCGCACGATCACCTTGAAATATGCTTTGTGCTTGTTGCCACTTTTGAACAAAGCACATCTATAACCATAAAAGAAGTTGGTGTTTTTGAAATATAGTTCAAACACATATAACAGTATTATTACCTCTATAGATCACACTAGTGTACAAGGGTTCAAATTACACAAAAAGCGTCAGTTTTATCTGTAATTGTAAATTCACTTTAGATACTAGTGACTAGTGTCTTGCGAAATCGATCCAATGCACTTAGGCGACTGTCTCTCACCATTTATCATCAAATGCAGCATACCATTATGTCGGATAATTTGGCCAAGTTTCAAAGCCATCCACTGATTTTGATCAGTATTTGAAAAAAACAGCATAAAGGAAATTATTTACTATTCAGCGCAGACAACGATCGATTTCTCCAAGTAATGTACACTGTAGCAAAACACAGTTAACGAACTGTGACATAGGTGAACAGATCATTTTTATTCAACGTTCAACTCTTATTACATCTAGGCATCTCTGTTGAGAGCAGGTTACTGTTTGCTTAGTTTCATTGTTACCAGAAGAAATCAATAGATACAGCATCGTATTCTGATTTGAAATAGTCAATACCTTCTTAGTTTCCACCTATTGAAATCATCCTATCGATTGTGGTATTATGTTATACTTGGTTCATCCCCATCGACAATTCTCCTACTTCATTGAATTACTAAATCATAACTGTATTCAGATAAGATGGACAAAATTGGTTGTTACGTAATAAAAAAAGTAGAACACTAGTACACAAACACAGAAAATAGTTCGCAATTTTCGGTATGATATATTTTTTAAGATTAAAAAGGAAAATATTTCCTTTTTCCAAATGTTGTTTAAACACATAAACTTCTTAAACAGAAAAATGAAAACAATTTAATGTTACACTTAGTACAATAACTTCCTTACCGTTTCAAATATGTTACAACGATTGTATATATATACATATATACAGTTTCTTCAAACGCTTTACATAATTATAAGTGTTAATCAATTTGAAGAGGTTCATTGAAACGACAACCATTGCGCACTATTGTTTATTTTAAGTATATCAAAGCAAAGAAGAATTATCCAAGCAAATTTCTACTGTTCACCAAGTAAATATTCCTTTTGCTTGTTATTTAAAACAACAAAGATGGTTGTGTATATCTCTTACGTATACGTTTTCTATAGAAACTACAAAGTATATTTTTTTTAGTAAAATATTTCTATCTTACGGTAAGAAAATAGATGTAAATAATTTACAAACTAAATTTTCTATTACTACTGATACTTTGCATAATTTTTTTTATCTAACTAGCTTATTACGCTTAGTAACTTGCTGAAACCGCTGATTTTTCTATATTTTTTCTCCTATTGTAGAAGTGTTGAAATAATCTTTGATTTAAACTGACAAAATTTTTGTATGCAAACCGCATGTACTCATGAATTTATTATTCAACATTATGATAACTGTTCTTATTCTATTCAGTTAAAACAAAAGAAACAATAAGTATAAAATAATTTTTATTTATGATTATTATTATTTATGAATATTAATCGTTTTCTTGTATTCAAAACTGACTTTCGATCGATCTCTGTTAGAATAATAGAATAGTTGATGAAGATTCTTAGGTACTGGGATGTAGTTAAAGGTTTTTATTGTTGTATTTTTGCACAAATGCTGCACCGGGGGACCTTAGTATGAACATCAACATTAAAATGTAAATACATCTCACTGATAAGTCAGAAATAGAAGAAAACTTGTGTTGTGAATTCTAATGATAGTTATAATGTAGAAATTGTTATTTTCAATGGGTGAATTAGCTTTTTATTTTTGTTGTATATTTGTGGTGCAATAAATCATCATTGTATTTCAGTTAAATCACGTACTTAGTATTCGAAAAAATTAGTGAGGAGAGTGGAAAACCGTCATTCGTTTATGTCTGAATTTAATGGGTGTACAATGTTAAATACAAAACGTAGCAAGTTTCATGTGCTCATGGAGAAAGGATCAGATTAGACACAAACATTGTGCTTACTGATTCTGTATAATTATACAATGAGATATTAGTCGCTCCAACTTTCTGGCCTACTAGATGCAATGAATTACTATGCTGTTCCTAGCCACGGCCAATCCAAAAATCAATCTTGCTCAGAAAATCCTTTTAAAGACCAAAGAAGATTAACTTAAACAAGCAGTAATTGTAAATGAAAGTGGCTGCCATATTCATGAAATCACTACAACATTTAGCGAATAAATAAAACAACTACCTGAGGTGAAAGTGTCCGCGGTCACAGTAAATTGAAAACAAATTCACGCACGAAGAATTTCATATTGTTAATAATATTTTTCTACAGTTTTACAGTATGTCAAATTCAGTTACACCTATAATTAACTGTTAAAAAATATATATATATAAGATAACTTCAATCAAGACTGCACTTATGACTCCGCTTTTGTACTTGAATAAAGTTTATTAAAGTATGAGTGAAACCAGTTCACACGTTGTTGGCCCTTGATTTAGGCTGCTGAAATACTGCAGGTTATCCATGCAATGTTATTATTATCGACAAACCGAATATTTTCCCATATTGGTAGAAACTAATAAAGATTTTAAGTTAAAACTACGAGTAAACTCCATTTTCAAACTACATTTCCTAGTTGCGTAACATTTTTGAACAAATAAATTTGAAAACATAATAAAAACACTTCACTCAGTGAAATCACAGACGATATTCTAGTTAGAACATTGCTATGTCATTTATAGAAACATAACTGATATCATTAGTCAGCCTGATGTCTGAAGTTACTTTTAGTAATAAACAGTGATAGGAAAAAAAGATGTCACTTTTGCACTTAGATTCATAGATTAACATACAATGTGAAATATCTGTCACAGAAATTATAGAAATATTCAATATATCGCCTACTAACGTTGGGCAAGCTTCGCAACAATGTCACTAATTTCGAAGTCACATAACTGCGAATGTAGTTGTTCAAATCTGTGAGCAAATGCAAACGACTATGATACAACATTACTCAATTTCACACGTCTGTCTCATTCTTGGATAAAGCTGCTTAAACTATTAAAAAAAAAGTAAACAGAATAATCCATCAATTCTAAAATATTCCCATTGAAATAACGCCAAGCACAGCAAATAGCGAGTAAAACAAAACAACCTTAATAATAATCAATAAAAATTAAAAATCCAATGTTTTCAATATAAAAAGACAACAGAATTTCATCTGCATAAGAGGAAACATATTTTTTCGTTGATTTTAAATTATACAACCGAATTAAAATCAGTAATAATTGAAAATTGATTCACAATGTTTCCTCTTGATAGAGTTGTTATGTTTTATCCAATATCATGCTTGATGTGTGTTGTCGTTGTTAAGAATGTATAGGCGGTTAAATAATAGTAATCCATGATGATATGTAGAAACGAATACAAATACACAAACAAACATAGAAATGATAAGTTCTCCTTTTCTTTAAGTATTCGGCGTTTTAAACATTAGAAAAACACGTGGTCCATGACGAAAACAAAATGAACAACCCGGTTGATATGAATAAAATGATGCATATCGACCTCGTACAATGACACAATGCCATAAACGTTTGTAATGCTTGTCTAAACGTAATTTGATCCATTTCACTAGTTCCTGTAGTGAAAGATTTAAAATATTTTTAGAAAAAATTAGGAGATTGGCTAAAACAAGCTTAATGTGGATACTAATAATAATTCAAAATTGTACAAATCAGGAAAATGTATGAAATATTCATGATGTAGCAAGTGATTTAGTTTGATTTGTATAAGTTTTCATAATGATAAAAATAAAAGTAGGACCACTTCAAAATGTTGAAAGTTCAACTACTATTGTTAAACGAATTTTACATATGGCGCGATTAACTTGTCTGAAGAAAATTGATTACTATTATTATGATCACCAGATCAAACTACATCTCTTATTGAAAGATAACAGTTCCGTTTCATTACGATGCCTTATACTGATGTATAAATGACAAGTAAAGAATATGATATTTGTACAGCCTCTTCTTTGTACTGACTGAATTTAGGAACCCAACTGTGAAGACTGCTGTTCAATGGAAGTCACTTAGACTGTCACAAGATGATTCTGAGAGTTTCGATTTGTTTTACCTAATAAATATCTTATGGTGATTGAAAAGTGAACTAGTTTTCTATCGATCGACTTCAATTACCTAATAAATATCATGTTTTAATGAATCATCAGTTAATTTTATGCTGAAAAAAGTTAAGCAAATTTTTTATAACTTCAAATATCAATGGATTGAGTATGGTGAATTAATCTGTCACATTGTACAGAACGCACGATCAATTAATCAATCAACCAAACCAAAGTTCAATCAATCAAAAGTATGCTTACAAAACGTTGCTTTAATTAATAAGACCAAATATTATTACAGTGATTATATATATATATATATATATATATATATATATAAATTTATTTGAATGAATACATAAGTGAATGACTTCGTCAATTAAATTGCTTTATCATTTATTTATTTCAAATTAATAAATATCCGGTAAAGATTTCGTTATTCCTCTTTGAAAATAGGAAAAAACAAGTTAATCTCTTAAATATTCTAAAAGAATCACTTTCTAAATGACAGATACATTTTAACAAAAAAAGCGCTGTCAATCAATGAAAATTAGTTGAATCAACTTCAAAACTATCCCCCATAATCATGAATATAGACGTGTTGTTCATAATAATAAATAATAATAAATCGTTTTTGGTTTCGACTATTAAGAACACATTACCCTGAGAAATAGAGAAAGATATGAGAAGAATGAACAAAAATTGGACGGAAATGGAAAAGGAAGCCCAGGACAGAGTAGCTTGGAGAATACTGGTGGGCGGCCTATGCTCCATTGAGGGTAACAGGTGTAAGTAAGTAAGTAAATAAGGTTTCGACTATTCAGGAATCTGTCTACCCGGACAAGAGACTTGGTACTTTCGACAAAGGTTGAACTTCAAAGATTCAAGACAACAATGACTGATTGCTGTAACCAGTTTAAAAACAACAAGCATCGCACATACAATACATTGGCTAATAAAAACTAAGAAGCCACTCAAAAATTTAAAATCAAACGAGCATATACTTATAACTAAATCAGATGACCTATCAGGTACTTCAATTTTAAACAAGACGGATTACATAGATAAGATGAATACCCTGCAGGGTGACCAAACTAAATTCCAAAAGCTAGGGTCATGAATAGACTTCAACGAAAAGACCGAACACTAATTAATTATGGCTTTAAAACAACAACAATACATTTCTGAGTATACCTGTAATGCGCTCAAGCCATCTGGAACATACAATATTCAACTTCATAATCTGCCTAAAGTTCTTAAACCAAGGGTCCGTTCGAGTCTAATTTTAGACATGTTATTTAACAGCAAAACGGTTAGTTAAATTGTCAGAACGACTACATCAAGACCTGGTCAAGTACATAGTTTAAGACGTAGTTGAATTTATAAATGCAATAAAATATATGAATATAAAAGGCAAAACCATGTTATCACTGGACATTACATCTTTTTTCACAAATATTCCACCGACATAAACCATCGACCATATGTGTGAACAAATACTAGGAAATAAAACAGAGATGCCTATCCCAATGAATAAAATAAAGGAGATTCTGTTGAAATGCACAATAAATATTCACTTTTTTGTTTAACAACGAATTCTATAGACAAACAGATGGTGTACCGACGGGATCTCCTCTAGGTCCGATCCTCACAGATATTTTCCAAGCCAAGCCTGAAAATAGACCTTTGAAAGATATCGCGAATAAGCTAAATCTTTACTGTCAATACATAGATGACAAACTAATCGTATGTGACAAAGGTATCAACAAACAAGAACTGTTGAACAGTTTCAATAACGTACATCTAACTAGTAAATGCTCTGGCAAAAGGGAACGACAATAGTATAGCTTTCTAGAAGGGTAGACAGTTCTATACAGGGAAATATAATTAGAAAGAATGCATGAATTGGTCAGTATTCTCATTTTCAGAGTTATGCCCCTCTTCAGTGCAAAATAAATTTGGTTCAATGTCTCAACCACGTGATCAAGCTATTATGTTGTGAGGATAGTGTAGATAGTGAAACAGATAAACTGAAAAAACGTTAAGAAACAATAAATACCCAGATAACTTAGTCAAAAATTTCTATAAGAACATAAAAATAGAACAAATTGTGAAACGGTCAGTAAGAAAACCCTCTACCTGAAACTAAATTTTAAAGGGGACATTGTGGGTGACATTTTGCCACGTTAACTTAAAATATCTTCTGGAAGGATATTTCACACCATCAAGTTACATGTAGTCTTCGCAACCAAACCAGTACTCACACAATGAATCAAGGATAAGTCACCGATGATAGACTCTATAATATGTGTATACCAATCCAACTACTCCTATAGAGCTAGTTACATAGGTCGTACTCAGAGGATTTCATCCTTCCGTGCTCGTGGACATGTATCAGTATGGTTGGGAAAAGGTATTACGAAATCGGTTAACACTGGCATCCTTCCTCTCTTGATAGATCATGAACATCTTATTAAAATAGATTAAGGTGTTTAAGATTTATATCTAGTTCCGAACTATGTACCTAGAAAAAAGCTAAGTTAAAAATCCTCTGAAAAGCTGAATCTATCTGGACACACTACAAAAATCCTAACCTATATATCTGAAAGAAATATATTAAGTCGCTATGTCCATGACAGGATCACCAGAAACCTAAATTGGATATAATTAACCCTCTTATCCTCCTCCTATTTTCTTTTGTACTTCATTCTTTCATAGTCTACATAGCCGTATGAATTTCTACTTTTTAGTGTTTTCTTAATTTTTTTGACCCCAGAGCTCATAACACATATTGTTAATATGATCTCTATTGTTGAGACGATATTTCTTCTGTTTGTTATCATGATTTATTGTACTATTTATAGTGATTGCAAACTGACACCTTACTTTGAGTCATTCTGACATTTCTCAAATGAACTTTCCGATTTGCAGAAAATAAAACCCTGAAGTATTTATGGGGCGCAACAGTTGCAAATTTTGACCATTTTTAACATAAAACATTGTCTTATTAATACACGCCTTATTTGGGTCTTTGTAAAAAATAAAATGCAAAGCTTTTATTTTATCACATTTGAAAAAAACACTATCAACTTAGTTTGAATTTCGAGATTAATGAACGTTATTTATTCGAATAACGATGAATTTGCCTAACAATGATTTCTAAATTTCGATTCGAATAATTAGATTTTGGTCATTTTTATACTAGTAAATTATTTCCTCCGTTGAGATTTACATATTTGCAAACAGGAATAACTACAAAGCCATAGTTATGGGTGACTTAATATTGAAAACTACTAACTAGGTGCACGAGTTTTGATTGTATTCTATGTATTACACTAACATGAACTCGTAGTTTTGCTTGTTGACAAGTAGGTGTGGCTTCAGTCTAAATGAAAATCAATGTTCATCGTGGAATTCAAGCTTATGCAATCCAGTGTAACAGTTAGAAATAGTTCCATTGATGTTGCGTGATTGCAATCAGTTTCTTGAGGGACAGATACATGTACATTAACTAATCACTGATAATAAAACTTGTAACGTTTTTCATCCTTAGTGTACATAAACATTGATGATGAATTTCTAATAGTAGTGAGGAACGTATTCAGGATTTCTTGCATGGAGACACTAAACAACTATTTCGTACTTTTGCGAATTGATAACACAAGTCAGACATGTTTCTATGTGAAAAATATCATCAGAATAAAATGTCTGCTGAATATAAAGCAAAGTGTGCCTTCGACACTTGTCCAATTAAGAATTTCAGTTTCTATTCAAATTACTGGATATTTATACTTGGTTTTAACAGAAAAAAACTATTTTAAAAGTGACTAGGTATTATCACACTAGATAGACTGGGAAAAAATCTCTACTTATTGTTGTAGTGAAGTTGCAAACAAATTAGCTACATATTGGTTCATTTAAGGAATGCACAGAAATCTGTATCTATTTATGATAGGCATTCAATTCTGATTGAAGTTACATCTTCAAAACATTATCTCTGTGAAAATTCGGTAAGGTACATATGTCTGTTATATTATTCAGTAAACCAGAAACACGCAGATTACTCTAATATCACCTAAATCATAATCTTGAATATATTTTTATCAATAATTGACAACTAATATATGTGAAATAATCCGGTATTCATAACCTTATGGAAAAGATTGTAGTTTAAAAAGGGTTTTGGTGAAGCATTGTGCAATTTATAAGTTTTATCTTTCATAGATTAATTTCAATTAGTGTACAACGGGGAGTACCAAACCACTGGATAACTATTTCATCTTAGTCTGAAACCTGCGGCTTTAATCCTCATCCAAAATACAGTAAAGGCCTGACAATTAAAATCACTCGATCGTAACCCATTAGCAGAATTCCAACTTTAGTTCTATACTAGGTCAAACTAGAATTAATCGGTGGCCTATGCTCCATTCGGGATAAGCAAGTAAGAGGTGCCTTACAAGTGAATTGATTATTGCCTGAAGAGATTAAATTTCTATTCTTTATCATTATGAAATTGATTGCAAGATTAATTTAGTGCATGATAATCATAATCTAGTTGAAAACAAGTGCCAACCATCAGTTCACATAACACTACTGTTTGTGATACAAAAAATCTAATGAAGTCCCGTCTTTATTTTCATTTAGCTGCTTAAATTAATAATGAAAAACTCGACGTGAAATTAAATGAGTAATCAATCCATGAAAAACGACATAAACCAGTTACAAATTATTAATTTTTTATCAAATATAATAGTGAGACTACTACACCAATAACTAAGAACATGACCAGTGTTCAGTTTTATTCGAATTAAATTTAATGAAATTTTTGTGCTTATTCACAAGTAGTTTGTTTTATATTTAAACATTTTTGAACGAATCTATGTTATATTGAACGAATAGTTCATTTGAAATAAAATGAAATGGTCACACATTTTCCCTAAACTTAAAATTTTATCTAACCAAATAAAAAAAATTGTAGACTGTAGTAGTACAGAATGAGAAATACATTTTCAACACAAAACCATTTATCACTAATCTGGAATAAGTCTGGTTCATTTCAATTAACTTAATCATTTAATAACTCATAAGCGAACAATATTGTTTTCGATTAAATCCTAAGCTCGTCATCGCTTCTGTGGGACGTGCATTAAACTTCAGGAACTCATTGAGTGCCTTAAATGCAGCAGGATCCCCAAATGATTTAAGAATATTAAAGATTCACGATGGGAATCTTTAATATTCTTAAATCATTTAAGGAAATAAATGAACAGGAGAAAAAAACACAACTAGTGCAACAGTAGCTGTACTTGAGGTTTTGAAATGATAATCTTGTTTTATTTTAAGCTGAGATCCCTTCTAAATCATCAGTATAACCAGAATCATATCAAATAATCGTTTTACAATCTAAATAACAACGATTTCTTAGATAAATAAAGATAAGATCGAGAAGTCATTTACTTCTTAATCGATAGCCAATATATTTATGGTTATTAAAACTCATTTGACAATGCGATCAATGTGAAACAGTGCATCTATTAAAACATTGTCAATAATCACAATGAGAAAGTCAGAAATGTTAATTTTTTTTAGGCTTATGTTAGAATTTAAACGACGTTGGTCTTCGCATTGATCTGCTCATTAATTTGTTATGGATCTAAGTTTTATTGATTAATATACGTGTTTTTAAATTCCTCTCACAAATATTTAGTGGGGACTTGAGCATGTTCTATGAAAATTTCTAAGGGTTTTTTCAGTAATAATAGGTAGACACATATAGTCGTACCTTAAAAGATTTTATATTGACCAAATTTTTTATGATTTATCTACTTCAGATTTAAACATTTAAAAATATTCACCTGAACTCGAGTTGTTATGCTATGCATACTACAAACCTTTTCATCATTTAAATAACATTTAAATAATATTCACCCGAATTCCAGTTGAATAGTATACAATTTCACATTTTATTTCATGTTAGATAATTTACATATGACTATATGTGATTTATTTTCAGTATTATCTTAGTTAACTTTATTTCACTCATCAAACTACTTAGATCACTTAACTTCAAAGCAAGGTACCAGTAAATTTTTGGCGCATAACTTGATTTTGAAAACATATTTGCTGTAGCATAGTTCACTGTGAAACTATTCGCAAAATACTCTATCGTGACGCTTCACAATCATAAGTCCATCACACAGCACATTAAAATTTTAACTAATTTTCATTCGTTATTGACTTTGGTTGACAATAACATTTGATTGAATGCTACTTTAAGCCAATTCTTGACAGCCAAACTATGAAATTCTTTGATCCATATAAAAATGGCATATTACTTTTGATTTGGATAATAATCAGTTTTTACCGAATTCTATTGATTCTACTGCTTCTATGATATGCTTTAACATCAGACTGTTTACACGTTATATGAAACACAAAAATAGTGATTGAAATAGAGCTCAGGAAAACATACACTACTTGTGTAGTAAAAAATGAAACTAAACTATGCCATCTCTCTTAGCCTTTACAATAAAATAGAACAACAAAGTGATGTTACGTACAAATGCATTCATGAGTGGAAATGTAAATCGCCAAGGACAACCATTTATCTTTAACGTTTGATGGGAAAAAGTATGATTGTCATGTTGCTTAGCCAGTGACTTTTGAACATTATCAATTAAGTGTAGTTACTTTCCGAATAAAAAAACTTGTTATGAGAGAAAATATTTTTTTAAATGAAATAAAATTTATTGGTCGTTTTTTTTATGTATTATTGCTTTCACCACAGCCCCGACCGTAGCTGCTACCTTGACGTGGTGGTCGGGCTTGCCTATCGTGATGACCCAACCGAGCTATACTGGTTGGAACATATGTTCCTGCAGGTCCTACCATGCCAGACAGGTCGATTGGAGAACGATGAGACTAAAAGCAGCTACCCAAGGTCTGATGGCGAAGTCGTACTGCTGACTGCAGAGGGGTGTAACAGCAGTAAGGTGTTTCCCTCGGACAACCAGCATCTGCAGCGATGCTGCCTTCTCACAAGGAAGGAAGGGTTAGAAAAGGTCGACCCTAAAAATGTCACACCTCCCCTAACTCAAAGATTTCCGTCTCCTTGGGTAAGGGTGCCCACTAAGGGCCTTTAAGAACGGAGCTGATCCTCAAAAAACATTTCATAAAAAGGCCGTGCGTGACCGGCCTCAAGCAGTTGTCCCTTGGGCTCTGCGGTCACGCACCAACACTAATCCATCTTCCTTTTCAGGTTCCTCAAGAAACAACCTTCCACGGTGTGGGCAGCCGGGAAGTGACAACCGCCCTCATACCCATAACAGCACGCGAGACCAAATTGGTCAAAAATCACCACAGTACCACTGTGAACAATATCGTATCATCTTAATAAATATGGTCGGTATATATATATATATATATATATATATATATATATATATATATATAGTTATACATTTTCTAAGCGTCATAATATCAAGCGCTTTTTGACCAAAGAAAAATTGATACCAAAATGTTTAACAACAATCAAACTACTTAAACGTTTAGTTTCAACTAGGAAAATGTATTATACATGAACTTAATCACAGCAACAGTTGATAATTATACTACTGAGGTGTAGAAATGAATTCTGTTTCAGAGATTGTATGATTCCTTGTACTTTTTAGTTCAGCAAAAAATGTTATAGATCACTATGCTTACTGGAGTGTGTGTGTGTGTGTTTGTGTATGGCTGCCTACAAATCCAGTTATTACTGAATAGTGAGAAATTGAAATTGAGTTATTAAATCATATTCCTTAAAATGTCAGAATAATAATTTTTCTTATAAAATTCATCAAAAAAAAAGATTGTGATACAGTTGTCAAGAAGGGTTTTATACATTTTGACTAAAAACCCAATGGATCGATAAGGATTAATAAGAACATGATATAGTAAAAATTTTAGTTGAAACATTTAATCAGTCAATCTAATCTTTAACACATATGATTATCGGCTCATTGAATCAAAAATCTATAAATACATGAAAATTAAAAGAGAAAATGAAAATCCAAGTAGTTTTAATAGTTAGTTAGTTAGTCAGTTAGTTACAACATAGAACTTGATACGTACGTTTAAGTTGCCTTACCACATAAGTACAGATTAGTTCAAATCTCATAGGGAATAGAAGTAGTAACCGTATTAGCAGTAACATACAAGATTAGGGTTCAAAGATATGATTTGAGAAGTATAACCCAATGAGATAAATTTAAAAAGAGGGAAAAGGTTGTAGTGGTTTACTTTTACGAAGAAAACACAATTGCTGAAATATAAACATTTATTATTGTAATCAATAATTGTCACATTGTACACCTCTTGTTTATCTGTACTAAAGACTATCTCTCGCGCGCCAAGCGTGTTATTCCTATTCTTCTTTCCTCGCTCGTTGTTACTCGCTCATGTTCCCTAGTCTAGTGATTATTTCGATATCACGAGGCTACTTCTTCCTCTAGAATCTCCTTTTATCTGATTACTAGAGTAACGGGATTAACATTTGTTATCCCGCGAAGTAATATGTTTAATAGGTAATAACAAAAAGGTCATGAGCGATAATGAAAATAAACTGATTGACTCGATTTCACTACTAACCATTATTGAAAAAAATGATGTAAATACCAGTAATAACCAAGCACCTTTTCAAAGCGTGTGTTTACTATTTCAGAGACTGACAAAAATTTCAGTTCTTAATAGCAACAACATGAAAATAATGATAATAATAATAATAATAATAATAATAATAATAATAATAATAATAAAACAAGCTTACCTTATCATTATCATTGTAAATATGTTCACCTTCAGTAACTAAAGTGAAGATTGTTTCTTTCAATTCTGCAGGCATATCACCAGAGATTTCTTCATAATCAGTTGATTTGATGAGTTCATTTGGTGATTCCTGTATTTGCATTTATTTTTATCGACAGAGTAAAAATAAATCTTTTGTAATTAGAAAGGTATAAATCATAATTAATAAGTTATTCATATGAGTTAGTATCTTGATGGACGCAGTAACTTATTGAATAACGCTTGTTGTTTATATCAGTAGGTACTGAGTCCGAATCCCAGCATGAAGGTTGACAGTCTAATGCAGGTATATCTAACTGACAAGTTATAAACTGGGGAAAATCAAAGTCCTATATTCCACTAGTATACATAATTTGACTTTATTAGTGTCATGACGCTCTGTTTTTCTCTACTCTAGATACTCAGCCAGCACTATTCTACTAGACCTCAATATAACTCAGATCAAGAACCGAGGATTAGCCTGATCACAATGTGTATATCATAGTCAACAATCAACGGAAAATTTGTATTTATATAAAGGGTAGGGAATATGAATCACACATCAACTACCTGGCAGACTATATACCAGTCTGTCTAGGCAAATAATCGATCACGATTTTCCTTCGCTCATACAACTGGTGCAGAGGCTTTCATCATTAAACGAAATCAGACTTCATCGACAGGAACTACTGGGAAATCGTGTAAAATGACCTAATATGTAATAACTGACTAAAAAGATTGATGTAGGAAATGAGATACTGTCATGGAGCGATAGAACATGGAGATAGAACTTCGGACACTAAAGCATTGTGATAAATGCATCACGTTTGCACAGCTGAGTCGGTATGTAATAGTTATCTGTTTCATATTAGATTGATTCTCAGTATTGTACAACTGAAGAAACGTCAATTTCTAACATTTTTGAAATATATTTGAAGATACAGTCTCAAGGTCTAAATGACAATTTTAAGACATTGACATTGCTTTCATATTTAATTATGCGTATCATGTCGTCTTTGAACAGAACATATTCACTTCCATAAACTGTTACATAGACACCAACATTAACAGACGTGAAAATACTGTCTAACATCAAGGACAAGAATGTGTTCATCCTTATATACAATCAAGAGTATGTTTATTAAAGCAGAAAAAAAAAGAAAGCAGTTTTCATAGAAAAAAAAGATACCCTTACATGATTTAAATCATTTGTATTATTCATAAGGCTATTAGTTTTGTCATTCTCTTGAAATTCATGTTCATTCGCCATTGAAGACTGTAAATCAGCCGCTAATTTTGATTCTTCTTGTTCAACATATTTGAATCGTCTATACAACAGAATATTTGATTCAATCACACACAAAAACAATAGAGAAAAATTATGTGGTTAGTTAATGTAAATACTGATATTTGTACAGTTTGTAAATAGTTTTTATAACGAACTGAAATCCGTTGAAGAACCATAAATAACCGAAGAGCGTTGGCGATATGTTCTAACGGAGTTTCGTTCACTACACCATTAAGGATACACACAGCGATAATATCAAGTATGGCATTTTAAGTATTCACAAAGAACACTAAATCTCTCTACCACAAAAAATTAGTGAGACACGTCTTCACTTCCAGTCGACTTCTGATATGTCATGTTTTTAATCTAGTTAATTAATCATTATTGAAATGAAGTGTAAGACGAATGTGACTCGGTTCAAGTTACTCAGCGCTTATAAGACGATAAGAAATAAAGGCGTCTCCAATACTATGAACAATTCTAAGTATTACCAATTGAAGTAAACAGTCATTGATCTGTACATCTTATCTATCATCTGGTGACGAAATTTGTACATAATCAGTTATCACCATAGTGATCAGAATGAAGTCTGTACTGAATTAACTGATCAGCCTATGCTTCAGTGGGTGGCTATAATGTTTTTGTTATCAAACCCAATGGTTGACATTCTAATTATATTACAGAGATGATATTGAGTGTACATAAAAGTACTATATTTAATTCCGTGTGTCAACGTATAAGCATATACACAGATGAAACGCCGTAAACAAGTTCTAAACATTTATGCAGTGCTCTATGTTTTAAATAGTTTCTCGACTAACATTTCCTACTTTATTGTCAATTCTATCTTTCAAAAGATTGTCCGAATTAATAAAATGTTCTTTCAAGAATCACAGGAATGATAATTTAATACTTTTATGTGAATTATTCTTTAAAGTGACCATTTGTAAGATAAACTGACAGTGTTCTTTAGAGTAGTTTAAGTTGCGTACGAATTACACTTAGTGGATTATTTTAACTGTTTGATCTGATACTTATGTGAATCAGTAAAGTTGTCATACACACACAAACACTGGAATACAACACTAATTCTAATGTGACACAAAAGATAGTGTCCCATAAGTTAAATAGACTAAGGAGAGGAACACTTACATTATTGTCATTATTATTTTTAAGTTTATACAAGTGAATCCATTTTGTTTTTCAGACTATTTTGTCCAACGATTTTTAATAAACATTTAATTATGATTTTACCACATTCAGAAAATATTTTTAGAGTGTGGTAGAACATATAAAATCAAAATAATAATGGCTTATTTTTTCGAACATCACGAAATGAATGCCAAGAAATGCTGGTCTAAAACTCAGTTCCCTCTCTCTCTCTCTCTTTATATATATATATATATATATATATATATATATATATATATATATATATATATATATATATATGGCTATTTGAACAAAGTACAAACACAAACCGATTATTTATTGATATGTCTGCTGAGGCGAAAACGTGATTACTCATTAAAAGAATTCGTTAACTTCTGTAGTTTTCTTATCAGTGAAGATTGATTCACTTTGAAGACAGTTTTAAACAGACGGAGGTACCATGAAAATCAAGGGATAACGTATAGAATTTTTACCATAGCTTCGAACGCTGTTGTGTTACTTACAAACTTACTTACTTCTGTTACCCTTAATGAAGCATAGACCTTTAACCAGAAGTGTTCGTCCAACTCTGTCCTGGTTTCTCCTTCCTAGTTCTACGGAACTGCTATTCATTCTTTTCATGAATACCTTCAATTCCCGCAGTACTATGTTGCTTGGTCCTCCTCATACCTTTGGCCTTGAGGATTACAAGTTAGGGCTTGTACTGTGACGCAGTTGGGTGCTTTCCCAAATGCGTTTCTTATCCATCTCAGCGCTTCTTCCTAATCTCTTTCTCAGCCAGAATCTGCTTTGTTCTCCCCCATAGTAGGTTGTTTCTGATGGTTTCTGGCTAACGGATCAACAGGATCTTGCTTAAACAACTGTCAACAAACACCTGTATCTCATGGATGAAAGTTGTAGTAATCCTAGAGGGTTCCGCTCAGTACAACAGATCTGTCTTAAAGGATCCGGGTCATAAAACGTTACAGATAATACAATTAGATCGAATAGGAGACAACATTGAAGTATGTGACACTGATAGTTAGGACGACCAATAGGAATCGACCCATAGAATTAGACTTACAAAAATACTCTTAGGATATTGGATGAATATTCTGACAGGTTATGTCATAAACTGACTGGAGTTCAAAATGAAGCACATTATATTCTAGCTCAATAATTTATTGTAGTTTAAGTAACCTCTGGGCATCCTAAGTTCTGCCACATGCGTGTGATTGTGACTCCCAAATGCTTGGTTCTCTCAAATTAAAATGAAAGAGCTGTTTAATGGTGGTCTTATAGTCAATGTGGATTCACCTACGAAAACTATCTTAAAATTCGATCATTTCACTCAAAGATTAACTAAGTGAATGGCATTTTTTAAAAATTAGAACATATGAAATGAAATAAAACATTCGAATTCATCTTTTTTGATAAACAAAGAAAACAATGAAAAATCGAATAAAAGTTGGATTTTCAACAGTTCTAAAATGTACACAGATTGGTTGGCTTAAAAGAGACAACTAATTCAATCGATTGAAAAATCTATTCTGACTCATTTAGTTGACTGAATAAACAATGAAAATAGCAATAATAGGGATGATATTAAAATCTGAAAGTTCTCAATCTTATGTCCAGAAATTAGATGTCTCAATGATGAATTCACTTGTTATTACTTGTATAGTAATTTACAGTAGAAATATGTTCGAATTGGTTGGAATGAAAAGAAACAATCCAGACATTATTCGATGTCTTGTTGTTGTATTAATGATCTAAGCCATGATGATGGTGATATTCGGGATTTGAACTCACAGTTTACAGGTTAAAAAATCGACATAAGATTCAAAGACACCACGCCCAATCTCCGAAAGGCACACGGCTACACAACGTCTAGGTATATCACACTAGTATGGTCTAGACTACTCATAAGTAGTAAACAGAGGAAAGTCATGAGCAGCTTGCGGAAGTTGATAGCAAAACACATTAGTTTCAGTAGGTGAGAAACACAGTGTGTTTGGAATACTTTAGAAACCAGAACAGAAATGAGAGAAGCAAGTCTAGAACCAATTCGGTTTCAAGAACACACAACAAGATGGAAGCGTATAACTGAAATCTAAGGTAGACAGATTCCCTTAACCAGTGCTTTATTCTTACCCTAAGATGAAACACAGTGACTTGCCTCATGTCTAAAATACTGATGACTATCTCAAGACTGTAGCTGTGTGATTTGTATCGAAAATTTTGAAATTCACTCAATCATTCGTACCATAGTTTGCTTTTCACTCATTGAGATCTGGACAACTTCTACCCAACTGTTGAGTTTGATTTGTATTGTTATGACATGTTGACGTTGATACAATGAGAATTACTATTCTAAGACTTCACACCGTAAAATTATTATGATTTAGGTCAAGTCCTAATATCAGGCATTCTGGACTTACTCTTATAGGAACGCAAGACATTGTATATGTTGTGATATTCATATTCATTGCATTATTTCTTTTCATACAAATAAACCTCCCTGAAAAGTCCTCCCTTCTTTACTGTCCAGGTTGGCAGATTAAGATGTGGTGATTGTGCAGTATATTATCCAACAAAGTGAATACAAAACTGAAATCTATGGTAAACACATCATTTTTTAGTGGAGTAATGTGAATTTACAACTGAAGTATTTACTAGCTCTCTAATATAAGACAAAATTATACATTTCACACTCATATCCAAACAAATTCATATGTTTACTGAATTGAGAAGAAACACACAATGAAACAAGTGACGTAAAATGTTAACTATCTATCATCTACATCGTGATTGACTTCTTTTTAAGGATAAAAATTAACCAAGTTTTTACAAATAATAATAGTCAATGCTAAAAATATAACATGATTCACTTACATAGCTTCCAATTCCAATCCTAACACATCACAAAATTTGGAAAGTGTTATTATTCCCGTTTTTTGTGGATCAAATAACTCTTGCCATCTCTGTGAAATGAAAACGATAAACATATTGATTTTATTGTTTCATTGAAATAAAACATACAGATGATAAATTTTCAAAATAATTTTGAAACGAATTAGTTGATGAATATAACATTGATTACTTATTATCTTTCATAACTTCATCTTATTTTATTAATTGTAGAGTTATGGAGATGGTTGTTTGTCACTGAAATCATCAATCGCTCATTGTTTGACTACCATCAGCAAGCTGGAGGCGCTGGATGGCCATTTCGTTCTAGTATGGGACTCTTCAGCAGTGCACATCCACAATCCCCGCTCGTGTTCGCACACGAGACCAAACGTCCTGGGTCCGGTTCTCACAGGTGAAGGTTGCGGATTCACACTGCTGATGAGACCCGTACTAGGGACGAAACGGCCGTCCACTACTTACAGGTTTCTACTGGTGATCTAACAATGAAAGATTGATGATATCCTATCTAAGATGTGCAATAATCATTTCTAGATAATATTACATTTACCGATAATCTTCTTATATCAATGAGTTGCTTGTGAAATTACAGCAACATTCGGAATATTTCGATATTTAGTAAAAGACGTTTCAAAAAAATGTTATTGAATTAAGACAATCGGAAATGCATATTCATTCATAATAAAATACTTTTACAAAAAACTACTTTTAGAATATTTTAGGCAGGTAATAAAGCCATTAATTCATTGAATTATTCATATGGGATGAATTAATTTGATGTAAGATTAGAATAATTAGTGTTAATTAATGCCGGAATTTGATTTTATTTGAGGAAATTTACTTGTAAAAAACAATCATTTATGCGGTTGATTTAAATAAAATTATAGGGATATTACAAAATTACTTATTTTTATGATGATATATAGTTTGGACGGCAAAGAAAACATTGTTTCTTTCGTTAATGATGAGTCGCAAATGAGATAAAACCTAGGTACAGGGATTCATGATCTGTTGACTACTACTAACTGCCTAACCTGACGTTAAAGATGTAGTGTAGATGTTGTTGAGTCATTTAGACTAGTAAACATATCGCAATTTAATGGGTAGAATTTGGTCAGTATTTAACAATAAGATAAATATGACATTGGTGACCGTTCAGTAAGACTAGTCAATACAGAATTAAATACATTGATTAGTAACCTAACTGTTGGTCATACTGTAAAAAATATGGATTTCTTTCAGAAAACAAACACACTAGAAAAACCTGTAACGTAATGTTGATTTTGATATTATTTAGTAAAAGTGCATACAGAAGATTCTTATTTTTTTTTCAAATACATATTACTAATCCAATGCATCGATTATTTCGAAGACACCAACTACTTCAACCTTAGTCAGAAAACAATTTTACAGTGACTCGAGATGAATAAAATGAATAAAATGATGAATAAAAACACACAATTCACAAATACATTCTGATTGAAAATGTAAAATCTAAATCATGACCAACATATTAAGTAACTTCCATAAAAAGAAATATAATCAAACAAAACAATTCATTATCATATATATATATGATTTACGCTTGACTTATTGAATAACTAAGACTAAAACATTAAAGAATTCCAACTACATTGACACAAAAATGAATTGAAGCGAAATATTAAACAATCTATGTGAGTGATCATTTTATGCACTAGATTTATATATTTGTGTGCATTCATGTCTGCATGTATTCTAACTTGGTGCGAATTTATAAGATGCGTACTGTTATCTGAAAAATACTCAAATTGTTAACTAACTAACAGACAGTAGTCAGTTCTGCCTGCAATGCATATCTATTAGAGAAGCGAAACTATCAAAGGTTTAAATAAGTCAATGTTTTAATTGATATGGTACAGGTTAGTCCACAGAGTGGAGTTATCTCTAGACACAATCATTGACAGTAGTTCCGAATATCTACTTGAAACATACTAGTAAGCTATTCTATATAAGAATACTGATAAACAGTAGGAAACTTGGTTTGACGCATTAAACTAATAATCGATTAATTCTCATGCTCAAATAATTATTCCTGTTATCATGCCTTGCTACTGATATTTTTATAATGACTACAATACCTTTTATCTGTACTTTTATTGATTGGGATTAATCATGCACTTCATTTCGATTGGTATGAATTACTTGACTGCATTAACAATTCCTGAATTTGCATGCAAATATTATTGCATACTTGGATGGAGATTGAACTGAAAAATATTGTTCCTTCATCTTGAACGAATTAGTGTATTTTTTTGAAAGAAATTGTAGAATACAGTGTGCATAGAAGGGCAAATACATTATTTTTTCTTAAAATTAGTTCACTAATGTTGACCTTGTGCAATTTATTTCGTTTTCATGAGTAATCAACCCACCATTCAATTGTAATTTTCGATATCAATTCAATCTGCAGCCTTAATCATACATACAACTTTCTTTTGTTTAAAACAATTTTCTCTCCCTTTCTTCACTATCTTGTATTGACACAATTCACGACAAACAATTTTTTGATTAAGAGACGAAATCTTATACAACCTGAGAAATTGGAACACTATAGAAATACGATCTCATGTATAACAAAGGGTCACTTAGTTACGGATTCCAAACAAAATAAATCTTTTTCTCATTATCATCATCAGTATACTGTTTAGTTATCAGTCACCATGTAAAGTGAACAATTGTTCTGAGAATATTTTTAGACTATTTAGTGAAGTGCATAGTTTAGAAACAAATCAATATTTTTGATAAACTGCACACGTACATATCTACATACAATATATTTATTTATCTACTGTTTTAGGGTTATTTCTAATTTAGTACATTGTAATTAAGTTAAGTCATTAGATTTTGTGCATTGCAAGTTTAAACTTGCACAAACAATTATAATTAATGTGACTGAGAAATGTGAAAAGATTGAATGTTCCTATTGTTGTTATTTTATTTTATCGGTTACTTCAAAATGTTAATGCAGTTAAATTTTTTTTTTAGTAAATAGTTCAATATTTATTAAAATAATAAGCTCAGCTTTTATTGATTAGAATAGAATAGAATATTCTATTGTTAAAAATATTATAAAGTGTATGTCGTTAAATCAAAGGTTAATTTTAACACACGAACATAATATCAAAATGGAAGACAAATAATATGTACCAGAGTATATAAGACGTTTAGTGCATTGTTTTGGTATGTGATTTATTCACTATAATCTCTATGTATCCATGCATTTGTAGAGAGAGCATTTAAATCTCATTATTTAAAATGTGTACAATATCTTGCGTTTTCACATTTATTGAGTAAATTTTGCATAAATGAGCAGAATTTTCACTCTGACAAATTGAGATACGCTACAATATTCGGTTCATCATGAACATGTAAAGAAAGATCTAGATGAATGAAATGAAATCCACATTGAAAAGACACTTCTACATGCAGTATGAATAGATTAGGTGAATGGATAAATGCTGGAGCATGTATTTATATAGAACACTGACAAAAGATGATTATTGTTACACTAAAGAAAATGTTCATCAATACGACATACTGTATCAAAGACAATTTCTCTGTCTTATTTCTAATTTTTAACTTAGAGTAATTTAAATGTTTATTTATGCATAAAAATATCACAACAGTACTGAAATATCATTCGTCTTCCATTCAATATTTATTCACATTATATAATATATTTGAAATTTTTATTCAAAAATAGAAAAATAAGGTTAATAGTACTTTATTCACATTCAAAAGCCTAATTTAACCCATAGAAGAATGAGTAAATGATTACAGTAACATTTTATAGTCTACTCTTATACATCCATTGCTGATTACTTCTTGTTTCTTACTCTTCTTTTAATTAAATGATGATTATACTATTCCGTTAATTTGGCTTGTACAACGAAATTTTTCAAGAAACAAACAAAACATGGTTTATCTTCAGTTTCAATGAATACCATAATAACATATCACCTGAAATATTATGCTTCTATTAGGAATCCAATAACTATATTTTACAAATATTGTATAAAGTATTTATTTATATGTGGATGATTATATGAAATGATTAACTAACACTGAAAATCACGATATCAGATGTATCAGTCTAAAAGCATTTATATTAAAATCGTGAATCAATCATTGTGAGACGATCATTCGAAACCTGACATCACTGGATTACCGTCTCATCCTAGTATAGGACTCATCACTAATGACTATCCCGCTACTCGAAAGAAACGAACCAAGGACCTTTGGTTTTGAACGCGAACGCCTAACGTCTGACCCACTGAGCCGGTATCCAACGGTGTCAAACTCTGATCAATCTAAGGATTTCGCTCAACTTCACCTGTTTTCTGCGGTAGTTAATGCCTACACCCAATAGGGTTGAACTTCACTGGTCACAGCTTCTCTTTAGAACTCCGAGAAGTTCCTCACGAAGCTAGTCTCTATAGTGAGCACAATTTATGATTTTTAATTATAGAGTTATGGAGATCGTTGTTTCACATTGAAATCATGAGTCAATAAACGTCAGACCACCATTAGAAATCGGTTCATTAGATAAGATACCAGCTCAGTGATTTAGAGGCTAGCCGTTCGCGTGAAAGGCCGAAAGTCCTGGATCTAAATCCTGAGAGAGATGGGAGTAGTGGATGCGCACTGGTGATGAGTCCCAAATCAGGACGAAACGGTTTACAGTGCCTCCAAGGTTCCCAATAGTAGTCGAACGATGGTCGATTCACGATTGTAATGTAAAACAACGATCTCCATAACTCTATAATTAAAAATATTTATAATGTTGTAGTAATATCGTAGTATATTTGTATTTTTTGTATACTACTCACTGATAACAGTATCATGTCCAAATGACTTCTGAATATTACCGTGAGTTTATTCCCATGAAAATAATGTTGGACTAAATAAATGATTAAGCATTGCCCTTGTATCTCATGCATCGAAATAATGACTATTTTGTGTGTTAACACGACATTCATAAATCATATCCCTTTAAATGATGTATTTGTAG